TATTCTATAGATATCTTATGACTGATTTTAATTAGTCACGTTTCTTGCGACAGAATAGATTTTAAATTTTTTTTTTTTTTTTTTACGCACACACTCAACATAGCCCCGCACTAGGGAAAACCCTGTGTCGCGGGTGCCATGGACACACACATATACAACCACAAATTACACCCAAACTCACGAGAGAAATAATTGTAGGCCATACAACTATTTCTCCCGGCCCGGGAATCGAACCTGGGACCTCTGCGTGGCAGTCCGGCATGGTAACCGTTCGGCCACGGAGGCAGTTAAACAGATTTTAAATTATTTATTGCAATGATTCTACTACTGAGCATATTTCATAAATATTATAACGCACTTTAGGGTAGACAACATGGAAAGCAAATTAAATTTGATGTCATAAATTCACTGTAAAATACAGCCCGGACCCAAACATGTTCTCAAGACCGAAATCGAGCAACATAAACTATGAAAGGTGTTAGAAATAATTTTGACCTTTTTTTTTGATATGAATTGGTAGAATGGTAAGACATTACCCTAGTTTTAGATTTGTCCATAAGGATTTTGTAACGTGATTTGGCAATACCATTGCCACAATGTTGATTTACTTTTTATCCCATTAACTTTGGTTTTGAAACAAATAGATTCTGTACATCAAAATTTATTGTTAAATGTGTTTCGTAACTATAAAATACATATTCTAATAAAAGTCAATTGAATATAATGATATATATAAAAAAATATAAAATTCCCTTATAGGAAAAGAGCGTGTAGTGTGTGCATGTATGTCGTATATGGTTATATAGAACATCAAAATTTCAGAACAAGTATTTATGTTGCCACGTGTGATCTACTGTGCTCGATTTCAATATCAATAATGATGACAATCTAAAATTTTTTTAAACAATTTAGTAAGACAAATTGTTCATCTAAAAATCAATCATATTAATTATCTCCAGTCTTGAATTCTCACTACACCATTTTATTACACCCTGTATAAAACATTAATAATATTATAAAAAAGGAAATTTAGATAGGTAATAATAACTTCTAAATAAGTAGCAACTAAAAATACCAAGACATTTGGCCATTAATTTGAAGCTTTTACCGTAACATAATTTAAAACATGAAGGATTAAATGTCATTAATTTGTTTCATTTTATTACAAAGCAAACATTCTCTCGGAATTTTTAGGGTAAAATTACTATCCGCATTTAATAGACCATAAGCCTATCTATGGGTTACTTCCATAGGAGAGTGCTTGACACATGTATCATTATAATCTACTGTATCGTACACCTGTATATGTAATGAACCTGCACTTATAGCGTTCGTTTACAAGACTTTTAACAAGAATTACAATTTTACAACCTTCTTTGGAGACTCAGAATTGTTTAACTTAAAGAATGAACATAAACAGCTGATTTTCATCACATGAACATACGCAGTGATTGTCATCATGCAAGTCTGAATATACGAGCTCTTAGAGAGTATTAATGGCTTTAGGTGTAGACGACGCGGCTCCGAATCTTGAAATCGGTTCACACTTCTTATACTGACTTCGGTAAAGACGAATCCGCCAAAGTGACTTGCGACGGAAAGGGATAGGTAGCCATTACAAAAATTCTTTCTCAGAATATTCGAGATATCTTTTGTATACTAGAAAGAATCAATACGTACTCTAATTGATTTTATACAGTATTGAAAGTCGCTGCCTTAGATTTTCAAATCAAATCAAATCATTTATTGTGTACGCACCTCTAAAAGGTCTTAATTAATAGTCAGTAAATTGAATAATCGCTTTTCAAATTTCGCATTGTCGTAAGTCTTAAGTATATAATAAGGCAGTTATTGTATAGTTATTTCAATAGGATTATTTTGTAACATATGCATAATATTTGTAGCAATTTCTTTTTAAGTATTATTGAGATTTGAAACAACTCCATTAGTTTTGTTATGATGACTAATATATATTTAATATTAACCAATATATAAATTCTAATCTTACATTTTTATTGTAAAAAACGTACTAGACGAGAGTGAGAATTATGACGTAAGAAATATTTGGTTGGAATATCTTCCCGTTTTGTATACAAGTCTAAGTTTTTTCGATCGAACTTACATATTTCCAGTATGTACATATATATGCACGGTAGAGTGAGAATTTTGTATTACTGGAAGAAAGATTTACAACTATCGGTATGTTTTATATTGATTAAGATTCGAACGAGCTTTTTTTGGAGCGTAAATACACTTGATGTATCAACACTATACCCCCATAGTACGACACCGTAGCTTAGCCACAGCGTACGCGTAGTACGTAGTCGACGCCATTTGTATGTTCGTGGTCGCTTTAACTTCACGAAGTGCATATGCGAAACTTGATAGTTTAGTTTTTATTTTATTGGTATGCGCCTTCCACTTGATGTTGGTGTCAATGGCTATATCCAGCAAAGTGAAATTACTTACTTTTTCTATGACTACATTATTAAATTTGAAATTTATGTCTATCGGATGTTTTTGATAAAGATGGAATGTCATTAATTTGGATTTTAAAATTTATTTGCAGATTATATTCCTCCATCCAGTTTGATGTATTCTCAAATATAGAGTACAGCTTTACATTTAGGTTAACATTATTCTGATATGGTGTAAGTATGGAAATGTCGTTTGCGAATAGTACACATGACTCGTTTATTATTTTTGCAAGATCGTTGATATATATCAGAAATAGAAGACAGCCGATGACACTTCATTGCGGAATTGATGCATTAATAACCTTTCGATCCATATCGTATATTTTCAATAGTGCCGTTTTTATAATTGAAAAATTCAATTTTTACAAATTGCTCTTGGTCTTTTAAGTATGACGCGAACCTTTTATGTGACGTTCCGCATATACCTATTCGATATAATTTTTGTAACAGTATATCGCATTGCTCTTTGTCGTAGGCCTTAGTCATGTCCAATAATATCCCAATTGCATAGTTTTCATTAATTATTATATTTAGTATTTCTTGTATATATTTATATACTGCTGAGACTGTGTTGCGTTTTTTCCGAAATGCATTTTGGCACACGTCAAAAATTGTACAATTCTCGCAGAAGGAATATATGCGGTGTCACATACATTTTTCAAAACTTTTTGATGCTGTGGGTAAAATACGATACTTATTAGGATCTAATTTTGAGTTTTTTTTTTAAAGTAGGTTTGCTTATAGCTTTCTTAATAGAGAAGGGAAGACGCCATCATTAAAAGATTGGTTAATTAACGCTCAGAATGGAAAAGTCTATTAATCCGCACATTCTCTAATAAAACTGGGTGGCAGTTCGTCTATGGCATGACTTTTCTTATTTTGCAGGTTTCTAATAGTTTTGTTTATTTCGCGGTAGTTTGCTGGTGTTAGAAACACTGTATTTTCATTTGGCGACATTACGAGGCGGCTGCGAGGTTTTTCACTGTTTTGGTTGGTTTGTTCTCCCGCAGATGCAAAACAACAACTGAAAATGTCAACTACCTCTTTAGGATCACTTATTTGCGTATCATTATCATTTGGTGTAATATTATGTTTAATTTATCTTTTATTCCTTTTTTCTTAGTTCGCTCGTTTATAATACTCCACATTGTCCTTATCTTGTTATTTGATTTATTTAAAATGCAGTTTTCTTGCTTCTTTTTTAATACTTTTTCATATTTCTTATAATATTTTATAAGTACTTGACTATTCGAATTTTGAGTGAGCATTTTTAATAATCTTTTATTCTTGCAGGAAACTTTTACACCAACTGTTAACCAGTATTTTTTTTTCCTTGTTATGTTTTAGTTTAATTTTACGTTTTGGAACACCTTGTTGAAGAATGTTAATGAGCGTATCATTAAAGGCTTTATAATTTTCATTAATATTTTTGTGATTAATTATTATAGTATTCCAATTAATTGAGCTTATTTTTTATTTAAAACATTCGACATTCATTTTATTGTAGATTCTTTTTTCCGTGTACCAAGTAATTTTATTATATAATATATAATTTTATTTTGTTTCACTAATTTTATTTGTATAATAGTTCCGAAGTGATCAGAAAAACCTAAATCAATAATAAACAACCGCAGTATGTGTAACATGTGTAGGTGTTTTATGTAGTTTCTAAGATTATATTCCAAGATGAGATTTAGGAACTGTTTTACTTTTAGATTGGTTTTGTAAGATATCTATATTAACATGTACATACCTCCATGAACTTTTTTCACAAGGAGCTTCTAATGCTACTAAAATTCGGTGCTGAAAATCGTTTACTTTTACAATAAAACTGTTAAATTCAAACAATATTTCAAGTTTTAGAACCTTTTTATCTGAATCACAAACTATGCAGTTAACTAACCGATTTTGTCCATAGATATAGAATAATATCAGAACAGAGTAAAAAAAGCGACTTCAAAAGTCATTCGTCCCCTAGTTTGTCCAGCTTAGAGGTGGAATAATTTCTTCAAATTTGAATGGGAACACTTCTGAGGTACCCTCTTTCCAACAAGAAAGAATCCTCAAAATCGGTTCACAAATTATTTGGAGCTATCGCGTGACATACACAAAAAAACAGTCAAATTGAGAACCTTCCTTTTTTTTGAAGTCGGTTAAAAAAAGCGTTTTACCATCAAACCCTAATTGATGTTGTTATCTCGCATTATGCAGTGATTCGTCAAAAATAGATACAAAAGTTTAAAATTCGAATAGATATTAGAAAATTGAATTAGCTGATATGTGCGCACGACGATATTGAGATTAATATACAATCTCTACAGTACTATATTCTATTGATAACATTGACCTATCTTGAAAATAACCCACAACGAGACTGCTTTCTGCTATATAAATTAGTTAAGGCGATAATTAGGCTAAAAAATGTGTAGATTAAGAGAGCCACTGTGAGGTCTGTATTTGTAAAAGCCTCTATAAACAAAAAAGATTTTATAAAAAGACTGCTTTCCTTAACTCTGTCCATACATGGTTCGAGCGAATATCCATGTTGGTGATCCTCTTGAACTGCATCACCTTGGGCATGTACCAGCCGTGTGTCGACGATCAATGCACGACCAATAGATGCAAAATATTACAGGTATGCCATCTGTGCTATATTTTTTAACAATGGGCAGAACAGCAACACCGTATTCATAAAAAAAGTTTTATGTATTTTATGGATTTTGAAATCCAAACGCTCATCGAAAAAGAACGTCCTTATAAATCAGTACAAAAATGAATCAATTTCGATGCAAATGGACGCCGACGTTTTTGGTCGCCATTAAAAAAGATTTTCGACATTCTTTTGTTTTTCATGACGCGCCAAAAAGCGTTTCCATTTGAAGGCCAAATTAATTTTTGCTCATAATTTTTGGAGAAATTGTTACAACTTCTTTTTGTTTTCGTTGTTTTTATTGAATTTTTTGTTAACAGGTTTTCGATGATATAATCTTTGCGTTTTTTACGCTGGAGATGACGATCAAGATGGTCGCTATGGGCGTGTACGGACACGGCACATATCTCGCCGATTCATGGAATAGATTAGATTTTTTCATCGTCATGGCTGGGTCAGTATAAAATTACATCACACACGAATTTCTTATTACGTTGCACACATACTTAATATAAAACAGTGTTCATCACGAATAGATAATGTTTGTTCATTAAATAATTTTGAATTAATTGTACTTTAAAAAATAAGTTTAACCGGCTTAATACTTCTCCCACAATTCTCCTATAATAATTATGTACAGTCATTACCTAATACAGTTAACGTTTCCTCTCACGTTTCAATTAAATCTATACCACCTGTGATAAGAACGATTCCAAGTCCAAAAAGGAAGATTGAGAATGCAATAAAACGCATCATTAATACGCATTTTCCACTAAGCGGCAAGTCGTGGGCGGCTGGTAGCACGCGACTCTTATACATTCAAATAAGTCATTATACCAGACTCTGAAGTAAGTGCCATTTTCCACTAAGCTACTTGCCGCGAGCGATGGCAGCCGCTACGGCTAGTTTTACTTCAGCGCCATTTTCCACTAAGCAACCGCAGACGTAGCGGCGAGTTTTACACGCATTTTCCACTAAGCAGCTAGTCGCGGGCGTCTAACCGCTTGCGACTCCTATTTATTCAAATAAGTCAATACCATACCCACTGACGCGGCCGCGACTCTGAAGTAAATGTAGCCGCTACGTCTGCGGACCCTCGCGGCTAGTCGCTTAGTGCGCTTAGCGCCTTCAAATTAGATGCTTGTGCGCTGCAGTGGTGCGTGGTCTGTAGTGCTTTACTAAGGCGATTATCACACTGAGTTGCATTTTTCAACATTGTACCGGAGTATCTCAGTTTGTATAAAAAATACGCGCCGTACAACACACTGACAACGCGTTACAGCGCGGGAGTGCGGGGCGCATGATCCGTCGTCTCACGTACTCCGCTGCGTGGTGCGGGGCAGTGTGATAATCGCCTAATTGTGTCTGCCACAACAGCGGCGCTGCAACTGCACTTCCAAATATTGTCTGAAAATTAGTCGTGGCGTGCCTTCTACAAGTGTCTAATTCGAAGACGCCCTTACTTTTGAATACTCATAAAGTCTATTTTATATTTATGAATAAAAACAAAATTAAAATTTCAAAAATTCATTCGCATTTGTAAGTAATGCTTTATTTACAGAGCCCTGGAGTACGCATTGAATGTGGAAAACATAAACCTATCTGCGATAAGGACAATTCGAGTTTTGCGACCGCTTAGAGCCATCAACAGGATACCGAGTAAGTACATTCAAATTTACGAGTACAAAAATATTTAAACAGCCTGTAAATCTTTGATTTCATGAAAAACTAATACTTACAGATTTTTATATTATATATATATATATGTATCGCAGAAAAATGGAATTGCAGACATTCCTAAATACCCATCTGTAAAATCTCTATCACGAACTATTTGACCTCTTCGCTTAGACAACCGCAGTGCACTTGACTTAACAACCCTCTTAAGAGGACATTCCTGTGAGCACGCTCAGTCTAGATGGAGCCGTCTATATGAAGTTTGATCTTATTTTGAATCCAATGAATCCAATAAAACTAATTGACAAACGATGCAGTAATCCAAACATTGCCCAACTTTAAGCAAAATGTTCAACACATTATAACGCACACACTCACTGCCCACACTATGGCAACCCTGTATCGCGAGTGGCATGGACACACACATAGACAACCACAAATCACACCCAAACTCACGAGAGAAATAAATGTAGGCCATACAAATATTTCCCCGGCCCGGGGATCGAACCTGAGAGAACCTGCATGGCAGACCAGCAAGGTAACTGTTCTGTCACGTAGGCAGTTAAAATTATATAAATAGATTTTGAATAAGTAATTTCCCTGTAAAAAGTAATGGCTTTCTTATTCTAAACCTATATTACCATATTATATTTTTGTAGCAATAAAACCCAACGGAATCATAGGTCCCGGTCTGGTTTTCTTACGTATCTATGCATTCCCCGAACTAAGCCTGAACTCCAATTTTAGAAGACAATTTTCAATTAAGCATAACGAAGCCGGCACTTTAATTTTACTGATGATAGCTTTGACTAAAATACAGTTTATAGACTTGTCAATTTCAAATTATATTTCAAAATCGTATTAAATGACGTATGTAATGAAGTGACGTATATGCACCGCGCCATTTGCTTTTATTAACTCCTACTAAAGTTAAAAATGCAGTCCTTTACGAATACTTTCAAAATAAGATTCTAATTACATAGAATTTAAGTGTCTCGTTGTATCTGCTAATGGAAAACCTTTAAAGGAGCCTATATCTATAAATAGAAAACCGTGGTAGCAAATGATTTGACCTACCGCCTCTTTAGCAGAGGCCGTGGGTTCAAATCCAGGCTTGCGACTCAAAGTTTTTCGGGTTTCTGGTGAAGGAAAAAATCGTCATGAAACCTGCACACGTGTCAAGTTAACAACCTGAATTGGGCCAGTGTGGCCGACTATGGTCCAAACCGTCACCTGAGAGGAGACCCGTGCCCAGAGGTGTGACGTATAAATAGGTTAATGATGAACCTATCTAGAAACATAATAACATTGTTAGTAACGAAATAATTTACGCGACAAAATTAATTTTGCTAAATTGAAGCACACAACATTTGCAGTAATTGGATACGAAAATTAGAATGAAGAAAATTAATCGCAGCAGCTAATGCGAAAGATACACAGACAGCCCCTTGTGGTATTTCTGAGGATATCTTTGTGAATAAACAAATGAAATATGCTTTTATTTTTTAAATCTCCCGAGTACAAGCAATTTTTTGCCGTCTAGGTACCATAGAGTATAAAACCAGAAATAGAGACGAAATGTCATTTGATTTGTTTGAAAACTATTCTGTCATATAATTACTGTGACAACTGCGCCAACCCAATTGATGGGTGTCGTCAATTGTTTCACTTCAAATCGACCAGTTAACTTAAGAGGGAGCAGAGGAAAAATTCCTAATCTTCGATTTGATTTTAGAGGGGTATATCCACTTTAAAGTTAAAAATAAAATATTGTATGAGTAATTACACGATATATTCAAGTATAGACATTAATCAGAAACATAAAACAATAAATTTTCACATTTTTTCGATTTATCCTCGAAATGCTACACGTTATTAGGACAAAAATTAGATAATTAATTATATTTATGCATGATCGACAACTGTCACTACGGATTTTTTTTAATCACTTTAGTTTTAGAATTATTCCGCTAAAACGAATTTGGTACTTTTAATGCGCAAAATTCAACATCTCCTGTCGCATGTCACGCGAACTTCAGGCATATATTTGTTTCTCAAATTTGGGCGGAGCCAACGTCAAGACTTTTTTGGCATGCTCCCTCTTAAGCTTTGCTATAGTGGACGAAAATTGCAAAATTACATATTTAATATTTAACTACCGATGAAATTTGATTCCGTTTGTTTTGTAATTAGATGTTTTGCTGTTTTTCCCCCCACACCACCGAATGGAACAGCACGCCATTCTTAGAGATATTATCTTTATTACAATAAATACACAATATTTTTGGAATATACGGAGACGTACACCCAGGTCAGTTGTTGGCGCTGTCTATATTTCAGTGCAATAGACAGTTGTTATTTATTAGTGCTGTATCACTGCTGAGTTACCAGGAATGTATATTTCGTCTCTATTTCTGGTTATATACTCGATGCATGTAACAAATGACATTGAAATGTAGTAATCTAAGTAAGGAGTCTCCTCACAATGGCGTACTTTTATTCATTATTTTATCATTATTCATGTCCTCTGTACGTCCGGCGTATCCTGGGCAACAATATACGAGTGGGATATGCCGATGGGATATACTGGCAAATTTTGCATCACGATGGCGAACATGTGCCACACTTCAGCATGGCCGCTACTACTAGAGACACGGGTAACGACAATAACTTCTGGGCCACAGTTATTAGTGTATGCCATCGATAGGACAAGAAGAAGAAAAGCACACTAAGGAAAAATCCTTCGATCCGATTAGATTCGAACCAGGCCTTCAGCATACCGTTCCTGAATGTATGCTGAAGGCGCTAATACATATAAATTATAACAAACTAGTGGAATAATTTCGCAAAAATTAATTGAATATCACAGAAGTAAAACAACGTGTTATTAAATAAACTATACTAAATAATGTAGTATTTTTCCTAACTTATGTACGCCATTTTTAGTCACATTTTAACATGCTTGCGTTGTCATTTTGCAATAGGTATTTTTTATTTATTTATTATGACGTAATCTATCTCGAGATTCTAATTTCCAATATGCCTTTTATCCTAACAATGGTACCAGTGGTACAAAAAAACAATACAGAGGATACCTTGACCTAATTGTATCTGGGACCTCGGGACATCAAACATCTCAACCGATTTAAGAGCCTATCGACTCACAATGGTTGCACTAAAAGGGGATACTTAGACGGCATTCTGTTACTGGGAACGTCAATAACTGAAGTTTACTGAAATACATAATTGCCGTACTTTTATTTTATCGAAAGGAAGTTAGTTGAGGTGGCAAAAAATTACGATTTTGTTTTTAAATCCTAATCTGCAGCAATACAGCAGTTTATAGCGAACATGTCTGTTACTCAAATATTAAATTTATTGAATATCATGATATTTTACTACAACGATATTCAATTAATTTTTGTGAAATTACTAAACAAGTTTATTATAATTTATTAATACAAAGATCGAACGTTAAGAAAATTCCTTCAATGCAGCTGGATTTGAACCAGCGCCTACAGCATACCGTGCCTGACGCTCTCCTATCTGATCTACGGAATAAGCCAGCTATTTTTTTCTATGTGCTTGTGGCAGATTTTTGTTTTTTTTTACATTGTATTGTGTGTGTAAAATTTTGACTTTTACTATTGTGATTCTTATTTCAATTCATTATTTTGTGGTAAATATTAAGTAATCTGCAACGCAATATTACTACTGGAATGATGTATTATTATCATGATCATCATCAACCATTTATACATCACACTACTGGGCACAGGTCTCCTCTTAGGAGAGGGCTAAGACCATGCTGACCCAATGCGGGTTGGGGACTTCACACGTATTATTATATCATAAAAAAATTCCTTGGACCCGACTGAACTCAAACAAGTGACTGTTGTCTAAACATGGCTATCGCTCTGCAAACTGAGATAGGGATCGCATTGTAGTTAAAGTAATGGAGCATTTTCACAAAAAATATATTAAATATCATGGTAGGAGAAACGACATTCAATGAAAATAAAATATTGTAATGGTGTTCTTTTTCAACACGGCAGACTGTAGCAGAATATCGAAAAAACGTCGCCATTTTGCTGAGGACCCTTTAATCTCCCAACACTATTGTCTGATACTACACTCTTGTTGTGTATTGTAGCTCATATTTATTTATTTATATGTTGAAATATATGTTCGATCTTTATATTAATAATTATAACAAACTAGTGGAGTAATTTGACAAAAAATAATTGAATATGAATTCAATAAAAAATTAAAATATATTATCGATTTAATTATTTTTATACCAGTATTATTACAATACCTGAATCATGTATGGTCTCATGCATTCTTCGGCATAACTTGGCGACATACTTTAGCTGCGTGTCGTGATTTAGTTTAAACACGTAAATTGACACTTTACTGTACGTAGCACCAACTGTCCACCGATACCCTACACCAAGAAAAGATTTCCCACCATAACACTATTAGTATTTTATACCAATATACTCTTAACATTTTATTTGGAAGTCATTTTCTGCGTGATATCACCACAATACATATATGAATCAAGGAGGCCCATACATGTACATTATTTAAACCCGCTCGCTCGTTTCCGGCTACGCTCAACCAGTCACGGCGGATATGTTGCGTATATGTGTACAGTTAGGGTATGGAACACATTGCCGTGTTCTGGATTTCATGACAACTTGAGTATTATTAAGGTTTACGTTTTCACGCCTAAACCGTTGAACCAATTTTGATGACTTTTGGTAGAGATAGAGATAGGGCCTACGAGAAGGAAATAAGCTACATTTTACCACAAAAATAAACCTCAGAGCGGTTACATACACATAACTGCCTCTGTGGCCTAACGGTTACCATGCCGGACTGCCACACAGAGGTCCCAGGTTCGATTCCCGGGCCGGGAGAAATATTTGTATGACCTACATTTGTTTCTCTCGTGAGTTTGGGTGTAATTCGTGGTTGTCTATATGTGTGTCCATGGCACCCGCGACACAGGGTTTCCCTAGTTCGGGGCTATGTTGAGTGTGTGTGTTATTATTATTATTATTATACACCCACTTTTAGCAGCGATAAAAACGCGATGCAGTAGCTAATCGTCTACCTTTACATACGCGCGCGATTTTAAGCAGCGATGCAAACGCGCGATTGCGTCGATGCAATCGCTTGTACATCACAAGAGAAGCGATGCCATCGCGCGTTTGTATCGATACAGTCACATGTTTGCATCGATGCAATCACCTATAAATCGCAAGTATAACGATGCAATCGCGCGTTTTACGAACACACGTTTGCATGGAGAACAAATATAATTATTAAAATAGTTAGAGTACAAAAGTCGCGAGCACCAGCTTGTATCTAATAAAGCAGTATCTCCTATTCTCGTGCACATCTTCACTTTTCATCGCCTCAGAACGTGAACGCATAATAAATAAAACTTATAAATATATCTATATTCAATTAGGCATATGTAACAGGCTATCATGCACTAATAAGCCAGTTAAAGAAATGAATCTTTGTGGCCTGAGCTAATGAATTTGTTGGTGCCCGCGATCGACTTGGGCAACAAGTAAGCCAGTTTGAAATTCTGATTTCCCACCTTTGGGGAAAGTCGTGGAATTACACGCCTCGATAAACACAATCGGAACAGGATATATAATTGTTTCAGTTGCTTTGGGGTAAGACGCAATATAAGACATTTGAGTATTTTTAAACAATGCAATTATGACTACTTCGTGAAATGCATTTTATATATGTAATTTATAAAGCTTAAATTCCAATTGAACAGATAGAACAAATGTACCAATAAAAGTCTGCCACAACTAACGTTAAGTAAAATAATAACCTTAATCGGAACAGGCAAACTTAAGTGTTAAATTAGTGCAGTTACAGTTGCGTGCAGTTTACTTATAAAGGCTTGTGTTTTTACAACACGCTCCAATTAAAAAATAGCGTGTAAATCCTGCTAGTCGTACTGAAAAACACATTAAAGTTCGGCTTTTAGTTATATCAAACCGCAATAAGCAACAAGTGTTTAAGTATACTATTTGCCCGGATGTACAATTATAGTCTTTAAAACGTGCATCGTAAAGGTAACTTTGCGAAAATATATATCGGTTATCTCAGCTGAATTTATTTTAACTCAAAATGCCAAAACGTTAAGTCACAGCTTACGTTAAAATTCAATAAATCAGAGAGCGCGCACGGGCGTCACGACTCCCAAAACATTTGGAACGCACAAAAGACAACCGGCAAACTTTAGCACAAAGCCCCTTTGGGGCTCAGAACAACTGGCACAACGCAGCTTGGCCACAAATTTAAATCGAGCTCTAGCTAGCGGTTAAACATACATCGGCAATAATCTGCGTACCCGCAATTTATTACTGGCATAACGCGTGCCTTTTTATTTGGTCGGAAATAGAAATTTACGATCTTAACGACTTTCAACGCTTTAAGAATATTTTCATTTTACTTATTGCATTCATTTTACTTAATCATTGAGAGAGCCCAGCGAGCGGTTTTAAAGGTTTCTACCTTCTGCCCTTTCCTTTACCCCATTTACCTTCTGTAAAAGTCGTGTAAGGTACTAACTAACTGTAAGGCTATTTTATTTATTAAGTCCACAGACCTCAAACAGCACGTTGCACTATATATAGTACTTAAAACACTAACAAAAAATTTGTCTGCCCCAAAATTGTACCATCAAAACATGTGTTTATTTCCAGATTTTTTGTTTTACTTGGATCATTTTTCTACAATAAATTAAACGCCAAATTGGCCATATATCATTTTTGTTACATAAAGGTTAAGAAAAATCCTCGAAGAATTCCTTCAAAATACGTTCTATGATGATACAGAGAATTTATTAATTATCCCAAAATAAATATTGTATAATTAAGCGTACAAGTATATGATTTGAATTATAATGTTTAATTATTCTTTTGTTTATAATTTAATAATATGTCCACCAGTGTAGTACTTTTTACCTGATACAGAATTCTTCTAGTTCAGGTATAAGTGTTATATTTTACAATGATTCGCATAATGAGTCTTTAGTTATTCCTTTGTACAATAAGATATTCAATAAACAATTTTATTATTATTATTTACTATAGGTAATAAACAACTTTGGTTGATTTGGTTGGTTGTTCAGCAATGGGAAGCAGCAGGCTTATAATAAATAATAATAATAAACAACACAACAGTGACCCGTAACGCCTGAACAGTTTGAAACGCCAGCACTGAACCGCTCCCTAACGCAATTGGTGCGTCAGATCAATTAATTGAAATATTCGATTCATTAGCTGAAACTGTAGTTACTTCACTTAGCAACATATAAATTTCTAAATTCAACAATTTTCTCGACAAACGATTTACGTCATGACAGCTGAAAACTCCTTTTGCAGGTATGCGTATTCTGGTGATGCTTCTCCTAGACACGTTACCGATGTTGGGAAATGTTCTGCTGTTGTGTTTTTTCGTGTTTTTCATTTTTGGAATCGTCGGAGTACAACTCTGGGAAGGAATCCTTCGACAGCGCTGCGAACTGGTGCTCCCAGCGAACGTGAGGCGACCCAAGTATGTACTTTCCTTATAACTTTAGTTTCATGTATAAAAAAGTAAATTAGGTTTTCTTCACACAAATTATCATTACAAATGACTCGAGTCGAGATTCAAAAGTGTGAAAAAGACTTAATACGATTCATAAGCTCATACACACTTGTTTCATAAGCTCATAGACGTAAGCGTTAACTAATGGTTCTGAATACTCGAGGAATACAAAATATGATGCTAAGAGATTACTAACATATTTCTTTACACGTTTGTGAGTGAAAAAACAGCTAAGATCACTTTTTCATTTTGTTCAACTTGCTCGCGAGCGCTCGACTTAGAGGCACGTCCCATAGCTACTATTGACTGCATGCAATATTTAGCGCTTACATCCCAAATGAGCACTTCATTGCTGCTCTATATCATTCAACGTTCTATATTTTAAAGTTGCATTATTTTCTATCTGTTTTCAATATTTTGTAAATCGCGCATGCCCTTGAAGTAAAGAGCTTACTATTGATTAAGTTCACACACGTTAATATTGCATTCCGTCAATACTCACATGCGAAAAACAAACTAACATTACACGCATGATGAATCATTTGATAATGCAAGGAAGAGTTATACATCTTATAATCTTTACTGCATTTAATGATTCTGAAACATGTTCGATCCAGACAGTACAAAGTAGAATAGTATACAAAAACCTACAATAGAGAACCATAGAACCATAGATGAGAACAGCCATAGATATCAACTAACATCATAGTTCTAGTACATAGAGCTCTGTAACATCCTAATTTAAAGTAAAGAATGTGGTCTCAAGCTACTATTATTGAGATTGCATTAATCATACATTTAGTAAAACCATATTCTTTACTTTTACAATTTAAATTAATAGAACTTACCGTAGGTACATAACACTCGTCACCGCTTCCTAAATTTATGTTCCAGAGACCTGTCAGAATGGTACAGAGTGCGCGTCAGACTGAATTCGTAAGGATTTGCGATAAAAATGAATGTGTTTCTATTAAGAGTTTCAGATCTGGTTGTTTCGTGTACCTTCCACCGCCCGCCGTCCGGGCGCGCTATCGTATTTGCTTCCCTGCGAACTGGCAGTTTTGTAAAGCCTCTACTAACTTTTTTCTAAATGTTCACTTTACTTTCAATTACTCTTGGCACCTAAATAGAGAACTGCCAGTTTGTGTCATTCAAAAATAGATAGATCTATAACTTTCTCCGAAACATTTCGATTGTTCTACTTCAAACACTACCCTAAAATTTGAACACGTTCTGGACTATTCTGTTACAAATCGATCTTCTGAAACTTTGCACAACCACAAATTACCTTGTTTTCATGAATTGATGAATTACTGTTTTAATTTATTTCGTGAACTGTACCATTCCTTTTCTAAAAACAGCTTTACTAACACCCTTTGTCAAAGTCAGGCTAGATATTGGCTAGAATTAACAACGAATTCTCACAGTTACAAATAAATGTATACATTGACCATTCAAGCTCACGTCGCGCTTTTGTATTATCTTCTAATTTTCTTATCATTTATTTCAATCGACTGAAATAAATTCATCATCACCACTAATGTCATTATAAATATTTTGTAACTTTGACCAGAGCCTGTGAAATTTAAAATGAAAAACGTGTCGTTAAATATATTGGAGATGCATTTAGTAGTTAAACTTGAAGAGCACAATAAAACCCTTATGGCGATCATCAAGGGTGAACGTAACGAGCGGACGCCCTAAACGATGTGGGTTACGGCAGACCATGTTCTGGCGCCTGTTACAGCAGCTGTCGTTAAATGATAACGACCTTGTGGCCGCCGGCTCTACGTTAATCTTGTCCGACCATGCCGTGCCGAGCCACCTTTCAACCACTCCAATTGATCGGTCCACCAAATTGATTTACTCCATTAAACACTCCAACTGTGCCTCCATTTCAGCATGGTATTTGCATGGCAACTATCGTATTTAATAGCTTTTACTGATTGTACCCCTAATTGCATGCAATTTAATTACAGCTTCGATGTTAGTGCTTGGTGTATTGGATAGCTTCATTAGCATCGGAAAATTGTTTAGCCATATTACATTGAAAGCGTCGTTAGTATTTCAATTGTTAATATGGAATCCCTGGGGCCAAAAATTCAATGCTAACTGAAAAGAACTGTCCAAATAGCGAAAAGTTTTATTATGATAGTCTTTAAGCTCGGAAAATAGGAAAGTGAAAATGTCCACGAGATCCTATTACGGCTTCAACCTCGCACTAAAATTGAAATAGTTTTTGTAATATTTTCCTTTATCATAAAAGGGACGGAGGAGCGTTTTCATTATTTGTTGGAAAATTTCGTTACATCCTTCATGAAAAGTAAATAAAGGCATGAGAAGAATCCCTCATACTTTCTTGGAAGTTTTTTCCGGGACATTTTGTATCTTATTCCAGCTTATTCTAATCCACAGGAGTAAATAAGAGGCATACTTTATAATGTACATTTTGGTAATCCTTCCGCAATAATCGTAAAGTTTATTCCACTTTGGCATAAACACTTCACCGTTTTAACCAATACAAAACAAGAAAGAGTTTCCCTCAAATGCTATTTCAACATTCCATTCAATCCAATATTTTTTTCTAATAACTTTTGATTAACTACCCAATAATATATTAACGATGATAAACTTGTCTTAAAACTGTAGGTTATTTTAGTGAAAAAAATATCAGAAAACATTTACACTTTATCATACTCACCGTAATAAAATATTCCGCAGCATATCATTCTACTATGAGTTCTCAAAAGACATGGACTACATCTGTACAATGCCAGAAGACAATGGTATGCATACGTGTTCCAACCTCCCGCCTTACCGCTACGGTTCTATAGTGTGCAACGAAACTGCCAAGCCATACCCTTCACTGAACCTGCCAACAAACATGTCATGCGTAAATTGGAACCAGTATTATACCAATTGTACACAGAGAGGATCTAATCCGTTTCAAGGAACTATTTCGTTTGATAATATTGGCTTGGCGTGGGTGGCGATATTTTTGGTACGTAATTTCACTTATGTTGCTTATACGTCATAATATGTTGACGCGTTTTTTATCATAATTATTATTGATACAAAGATCGAATACAAAACTGTCGATTATTACCACTAGTTCTGTTGTACAGCTATGTTGACAGAAGTACTCGTATTTTTCTTCTTATTCATTCTATTAATAAATTGACAGTTTTCTTCACAGAACTACTGAGAATTTTCTCTCTCACTAGTTTATATTGTTTTACTAGATTGGCAAAACAATCTAGTAAAACATCAATACTCATTACAATCAACATTATGTTATTTATTCTTTAATTATTATGAATAGTGTTAAATAAAATATAAAATAGTAATATTAGAATATTTATGTTTTATCTGTTTTCTTCTTTATTTTTGTTTGTTAATAAACGAAAGCTGGTTTTCATTACGCCGTTAGCAGTCTAGATTTAAGTTTCTTTTGTACCCATTTCTTAATAAGTAAATGTATTGCAAGTAGATACCGATCTTTTGTAATTCGAACTGCAATATTGAAGGTAACATTTGCGGTTCGCCACACTGGGTTGTGGTTATATGATCTATTTATTGCGACTCATTTACAAAAGTACGCATTTCCAGGTTATTTCACTAGAGGGATGGACAGATATAATGTACTACGTACAAGATGCTCACAGCTTTTGGGATTGGATATATTTTGTTTTACTTATAGTGGTAAGTGGATTATTACACAAAAAAAAAACTTTACCGAATTAAGAAATGATTGATGTGATATTATTAGATGCAACAATGGAAAGAAAAATATTGTAAGGCCTATCAAAATTTCATTTCATTGTAATTCTCAACAAAGGCAGGCAATCAGGTCACTTTTCTTCACAGATCGGGTCATTTTTCATGATCAACCTTTGCCTGGTCGTCATAGCAACCCAATTCAGTGAGACTAAGAAACGAGAAATGGAAAGAATGAGGGTCGAAAGGGCTAGATTCACATCTTCGTCGACATTGGCCTCCTCTACAAATAATAGTGAACCGGCTACTTGCTACGCTGAAATTGTTAAGTACGTTGCACATTTATGGAGAAGATTCAAAAGAAGAATGGTCAAGAAAATTAGGTAAATATTTTTTTATAGAATGATTCACTTCTTGAAATTCGTCATCACGATTCGATCGCCAGTATTGATTTAGCAGTTATCGATAAAATAATGTCACAAGGAAGTCTCTAGCAACACTTCTATGCGTGCTTATGACATAATAAAGCGATGTTGATTATGTTCCAACAGAATTATAACTTCGTTTTCTTATACAGAAAACGGTAATTTGTGTTTTAAATTCATTCTTCTGATACAAAATGATCAATCTAAGATTACCCGGCCCTACTTGCTTAGCACCATGTATATTCATGGTATCTAATAGATCTGATTTATCTTTGCTTACGTTACTCGAAAATTTACCTAATGTAATCTTAATAAAGTCGTTTTTAAATCGTGATAATTTTTTCTTGACCGGCCAATAGACTAAAGAATAACTACATATTTCTTTGTATTAAAGGTTGAGGCTTAAAATTTTATTACAAAGTTTTGACTTTGGCATTTCATACAAGTTTATAAAGGCACTGAACCCTGTTAACTAAGAATCGCAATTATTTAAAAAAAGTTGACTAACTCAACTTAAGTAAAGTACAGTTAAGAGCACATCAAACTTGACATTTTGAACTTTGAACTGTTCGTATCGCAAGCAGCGCAGAGTTGAATTTAATTTTTAATGTGAAGTTTGACGTGCTCTTGTTCTCAATTAGACTAGTATTTTGTCAAAGTTATGCAAGTAGGTTTTGTGTTTTTCAAATTGGCTGTATCGTAAAAATCACAAAACTTCTGAACCTTATATTCTCGTGGAGTGACCAAACATTTCGACACTTAATCGCATAAAGCCGGTCAGAATAAACGTTATGTCCATGCATGTAAGAAGAGCGAAAAATACTGTGCGTTTCGCGTCGGCGATCTGCAGGGCTAAAAAGGCCGCATTAGCAGAATGATTATATGATTCATTGATAATTCATATTATGAATTATCGAACAAAACAAAAAACGCAATTAATCTATTTGACAGTGTTTTATGGAGGTCTCCATAGAACACTGTCAAACAGATGATTTGCGTTATATAAATTGTAAGCAATTCATAGTATGAATTGTCAATTAATCGTAATATAATTGTGCCATTACGGCCTTTTTAACCCTGCCGAGCGAGAGCGACACTTAAGGGCCTTTTTGCTCGTATTATATGGACCAAGTTTTAAGCACAGGCCACACCGCGAACGAAGCTAGCTCACTGTGTGCACAGACTGTGCGTAAACCGAAGTATGAAAAAAATGCCCCGGCTACGTGAGCTAAGCTAAGTTAGCTTAGCTTCGTTCGCGGTGTGGTCTGCGCATTACGAAATAGAAAAATCAAGCTTTAGGATAAGCTAGATAAGAAAGACTTTAGTACTTATAATGTACTTTACGTAAGTTCATAGTAATATTTCCCGAGGTTTTGAGGTTTTTTCCAAAAGTTTATTTTTATTTATATTATTTTATTTTCTAGAGTATACCGATACCAAAGAGCTCAGGTGCGATGGCAGACAAGTCGTGAGACTCTACAACTTCCTGCAAACAAACCCAAACAACATCACCCTTGTTGTCCACGTATTCATTCACAGGTAAAAAATCTCTACTTAATAACAATTTTTGGTAATTATGAGCCATTCGTGAAATAAAATATATTCTATGGAGTGTCGTCTCCAACAAAAATTCCTTTTCTCTAACGACATACGATTTAAAATATCATTTACTCATCATAGTCACACTCCTCAACATACATCTTCAGAGATAGTTATAGAATATTCGTAAAACTTCACAAAGCCACTTCCGAGTTTGGAGGACCTAGGCAATATAACGAAGCTGTATTGTTTGCCGCAGACGGGGGTGAAACCCGAGGAGGGGAATGAGGAACCCCTTGGCCGACCCAGCCTGTTGCGCGTGCCCTCTCTCTCCGCCGCCGATCTCGAGGTATAAAAATGCTACGAACCGTCCCGAAATTCTTAAACTCAATTGTGCTAGTAAACGTTTAGAGATTGCGTATCCAGACCTTTTTATTACATCCTGTATAATAACGATTACAATTCAAAGTTGTTTACAAACACATTAAAGATTATGAGGATAGAATGATACCCTTATTGTTTTTATGTCTTTTAAATAAATCAACATCTCACGTGAGAATAAGACGAAAGTTTGTTAGAATTTAGATATTATGAATGAGAAAAAATTATATAATATCCGTCTTTTAGGTAAACTCACAATTGGTAATTTTTCAATTGTTATTTTCAATACCTAATTCACCAAAGGGCAGTCAGCAATGACGTCCTATCATAACTGACATATTCAGATATTCAAATCAACCTCCCCGCCATTATTCTGAATCGACGAACGCTGAATGAACGATAATTTAATTCAAAATCTTGGCTCATTTAATTGACATAAATACACGAACTTGTAAACCTGTTATGACGTCGCACACCTGAAGTTTGTACGTGTTTTAATGAAGGCTTGGAGCAAATTTGGGTAACAACAAAACTCATGGCGTACTTGGCAGCTTTAGGAAGCCCTCAGCAATATTAATATAATAAAACTGGTTTCGTCTTGTTTAAGTTGACTAATTGGTATGAGTTATCCGAGTCTATAGATTCGACAATTTAAATAAGTTACCAAGTTTGCCGTCTTCAATTACTTAACGATATAGATATATACCTATGTTCAAAACGAAGATATATATCTTCGACTTGAACATAGGAATGTCTTCAACTTGCACATAGGAAGTAAGAATCTATCGTCCCTGACTAGTATAGAATAATAAGCGTAATATATGAACGAATCAATGATAAGTTTATTACTCTCACAGGAGAATAAATAGCAATTGTAAATCTAAGAAATAGACAGAAAAACGTACAATACAACAATTTTCTAAATATCTCTCAGCAATCTTCGGATGTCCGAAAGCACGGGAATTCAAATTTTCTATTATCAATTACATTTTAGTAACAGTACAGCCTCTTGTGAAAGATTTCGTCCAGGAATGTACTGCTGCCTTACCGATTTCTGCCGCCAAGCAGTAATGTGAGCATTACTGCGTTCCGGTTTTGAAGGGTATTTTTGAAGTGCTAGTGAAATTACAGGCATATGGGACTTGTCAACTTATGTCTCAGGGTCCAGTGCCCCTTAGATATTTGGGATTCCAAGCTCTGAGTGACACTGGAACTGCTATGTACGGGCGTGTCACTAAAAACCAGGCTTACCTCTTGTTCGTCCCGTCACATTCATTAAGTACATACTTTATTGTTGTTTTGATTTCTAGGTGAATTTTAAAACTATTTCCCTTTTTATAATAACATTCACTCCTTAACAATATACCAAGCAAGTTTATATTATAACTTAATAAAGTGTTCTTCTTATAAGCAACTAACAAATTTTCTATTATGTGACCTTTATTAACACGTAACCAAAATAAAGAGCAGTGTAGATTGAATGTGTCCGGTTTGCATCATGCAAATTCCGGCTACATCCGAAACACGAAGATTTTCGAGAGACATTAAGAAAATAGTTGCCTTGTAAGCGATCTCGTTAAATAACACACACAATACGTATTCCAACTTCTACTATATTCGTTTATTTCGCACACAAAAACATACAGTCGTAACTTAAAAATGATGGAATTGAGAAAACATGATTTGAAAGTTCAAAAAAATACTAAATGCAACCAATAAACATAGATTCTCGTTTAGAGGTAGATAACTAATTATTATGTATAAATAAAAAGAATCTCATTGTTCGCAATAAGATTCATTCAGTTTGTTTTTATTTAGCAAATCGTGTTTTCTCAATTCTACCATTTTTGTGTTAATACAGTATTTAATTTCATGTGCGATTTATTCATTTTTATTACATGGTTAACCTCTATCTTGACCAATTAATTGCCGTAACTTTTGCCTAGGGCTCGCGCAACGTGCCGGCGATAAGTCGCGACTGCGGACGGACTTGTTTTAACACTTAGAACTAAACGGCAGCGTGCCCACGACCGGCGACCCTTGGTCGCGAGACTTGCAGCGATCAGTCGTCGCAAGTCGCTTGCGACCATTGTTGACAGGTCAAATCTGAAAAAAATCGGAAGATATTGCACTAAAAAAAAAAGTAAGTTGAGGAAAACATTAGATGCTGAACATACCTAGACACATTTTCAATCGATTTTCTTCAAACATTGATAGGTCATTTTTAACCGACTTCAAAAAAAGGAGGAAGTTCTCAATTTGACTTCATTTTTTATGTGTCTTACGCAATAACTCCGGCTGGTGAACCGACATGGATGATTCTTTTTCATTGGAAAGAGGTTACCTCAGTATTAGTCCTATTTCAGTTTGAAGAAAATATTCCACCTCTAAGGTTGGTAAACTAGGGGATATATCCAGTTTCGCGCACTTTCCGGTAACCGATTCAATAAAACTTGGCAAATAAATGTAATTCCACGAACTTTTGAGGTCGGTTATTTTTTATAAAAAAGTTATCATTTTTACATTATTGCCCAAAGAAAAAAGCGCGTGATGTTTTTTATGTTTATTATGTTACGAATTTGAAACCCTAAAGATTGGCGTAATGGTATCTAAGACGTAATCAAATCTGCTTATTTTCATTCTATAGTAATTGAAAAATCTACCTTCGTATTGTCTGAGATCGGGATACATGTGATGAAATTCTCCAAAAGTAGACCGCAGAATATAAATTGGATGAATATTAAATCTCCTTCTTCTTGTCCTTCTTATGACACGCACCCGTAAAACGGAATTTTCCAACAAAAAAAACTCTGATACTATATCCATTTCCCCTGTAGGTATGATAATTCTTCGGAAATTCACTAAGCCATCGGTCGGTCTCCGGTAGTATGTCGTCGCTAGTCGCCTGCACGCTACACTGTATCTCGTCGTTAGAAGTCGCTGCGAGTCGCTGCGGCCGTAGTCGCGAAATATCGCCGGCACGCTGCACGAGCCCAAGGTGTACTGAACTCGGATGAGTTGAACGGGTTTTTAATTTCTTTAGAACGCGTCGAATCTATCTCTGCTGTCACCTCCATCTTTGGCACGACGACGATCATCTGTGATGTTCAGCGACACAGTGCTACTACATACGCCTAACGCGCCGCATTTAGCCCATCCACATAATGTGTGCTCGTCAGAGAAAATGACGCAAACAGGTAAATAATAGCTACATCATCCAAAAAGCAGAACTCGTTAAAACCGTGCTCCAAGTTGTTATAATAACAATTATTTAACAAAATTTAGGTCAACAAGAAATATGCCTCTCCAAACTTTTCAATCCCCTAACTTTCCAAATAAAATTATCTTGCAACAGGTTTCAAACTTTTTTACGCCTTGCGAACAAATTGTTAACAAATTGAAATAAATATTTATAGATTCATTGTGTCAACGTGACTGGCTAAAGAGCCAAAGTGGTGAGTCTAGAGGTGCTAGACCTAGACCAAGCTATTAGACGGGCATGTGCAATCTGATCTTTCTTCCCTTTCACTCTTTCTTTACTTCACGCTGAACTAACATAGTAATTAAAAAACAGAATAAATACGATAATCGTCAAAATCATACTATTTACGAAAGTAAAATTTTGCTTCACAAATAAGTATAGTGAACCCTTTTTAACCTTCAATCTGTTTCTAGTCTATGACTTCGAAAGTATCATCGTTTTGCCATTACAAACTGAATGCAATTTTAACTCTATTAGTAACATGATACGCTGTACAGGCAAAATAGTATAAAATGGCATAGAGTTGGTATTCTTTCAAAGTGATACTTTCGAAGCTCCCTAGCTGAAATGCAGTGTAGTACTATCACGTAGTGACAATAATATTGCGGGCGTAGAGTTCGACCTGCCGGCAGGCGACACTGCTGAGGAACGGGCTGCAGCTGGCGGTACAATGTCTTGCCAAGAACTACTCGCATTATCTGGAGCGCTATCAGCAGCCTTACCAACTGGGCAGGTTGCATTGGACTCCTTCTTCGAAGAACTCACGAAGGGAATTAGCAAAAGAGCTGGAGAGGAAAAGGCAGATTCGAAAGTAAGGCAGTAAACTTTACGTTAGTTTCTGTATGTATACCTTATTAAGTTACTAACATGTCGTCTTGTTATTAGCAACCTTTGTATGCCGACTAATTAAGAATTAAACCACTGATTGAGGTAATCCTTCTAAGCCCTCAAAATCTTTAACTTCAAAATCCTTTAAAGAATTGTGCTATCTTCTCTTGTAGAATGTAGAAATAGAAGACTTTTCTTGCTGCGCCGATCTGATTGCAGCGGAGACTTTAGCGAAAGAGAACAGAAAGGGTAGATTTTCCAGCACTTGCTCAATCATCTGGAGACGAATAACCAAATGCTTATTATGGTTAAGGAAGTACATCAAAATTATTGTCAATCATAAATATTTCCAACAAGGTAAGTTTGAAATATTTTTTTTTTGTTGAAGTCAATGATGGTAAATTTAATGTTGACCATTGTAAACACTGGAATAAAAATTCCCAATTTTCCAGGTATCTTAGTTGCGATTCTCATAAACACTTTGTCGATGGGTATTGAATATCATAACCAGCCGGAAGAACTGACTGTGATCGTGGAAATCAGCAACATAGTCTTCTCAGCCGTGTTTGCCGTCGAGATGTTGCTCAAGATCGTCGCTGAAGGCCCTTTCAAATACATTTCTAATGGATTCAATGTATTTGATGGCGTCATTGTCATACTTAGGCAAGTTATCCTGATTAATTTGAACACCATTGGATGGTAACCAGTGATTTTATATATTCATGATTTTCTTTTTTGTTACCGAACAGCGCTTTTGAACTAGCACAAAATAGCGGGAAAGATATTGACTCACAGAATACATCAGGACTGTCAGTGTTACGTACGTTTCGACTACTGCGTATACTGAAACTCGTGCGGTTCATGCCAAACTTGCGTCGGCAACTGTTCGTCATGCTACGGACCATGGACAACGTCGCCGTCTTCTTTTCTCTGCTCGTCCTTTTCATATTTATATTCAGGTAATTATTGCCATATTTTACATTTAAACGTTTCAGTTTAGGTATGAATTAATATGTTGTAGGGTATATTTATGTTTAGAAACTAAAAGTTTTCAGACAAGAAAATTTTAATAACATTGAACATGTAATACAATTTTTCAAACTAAATAAGTCGTAGTTTATAGGGCGTGGCTTTACAGAATTCGTGGCGAGCTTCTCTGCTTAAAACTTTATGATTCGTCATAATTCGTCGTTTTCAACGTATCAAAATTTTATTAGAACCGAGAATATACAAAGTTATAAAATTAAAATGAAGCATGATTTCTTCAAGTCGTCGAGAGTATTTTACGATTTGAAGATATTCCTTATTACAAAGACTGCTTTCACTTTAGGTTAGAATTAAGAAAAGGTTGTTTTTGTTTATTCTTTATAATTTTTATTTAAATGATGTTTCTGTCTAACTTTTATGATTTTTATTTCTACCAGTTTTAAAACCATTACTAACAAGCAGTAACATATTTCTTAAAAACATTTATATAAAATAATTAACCAATAAAACAATTATTTTAAATAAGTATTTAAAATTATATTTAAAGCATAAATAAAATTATTATCTCTGATTCAGGAAATCTTTCAAACTGTGATTTGTTTTGAAAAAATCAATTTAGTTCTTAAAATAATCCTCCTATATTTGTGACGTCTTCCCTTTGTAGTGTTCACATTCCTAAGCAATCATTCATTGATTGCTTAACCAAATTCTTCATTTTTCCGTAGCCAAAGAAGATTTATTCGACTCACGATAAAATATGAAATTCTGAATGTTTCTACTTAACTGTCACACCCGCATCCTTTACCTGTGCACTATTTGACTGTGAGTGATTTCTCCTGTTTCTTTTTTTCTTGTCCTTACTAATGTGTGTAAGTCTCTGTCTTACATTTTACCCACTACACACTGCCACTGTCCACACTCTTTACAACTGTTTTCTCTTCTATATTTATTATATAATACCAATCATAGTCTTCACGCTTCTACGCTTTTTGTCCACCTCTATTTACACCTTGCACATCATCAGTCACCATATTAGATTGTATGTACGTGTTATATGTATTTATTTACTACGTATATGTAATATTTATATATCTTCCTCTATATGTGGAAAGGTTAATAGTGTCCGTATTATAAACTAATCAAATATTGCGTGGTAACGTTCAGCATCCTCGGTATGAACCTCTTCGGCTGCAAATTCTGCGAAACAATAGAGGATGGCGATATCGATTGCGACCGAAAAAACTTTGATACCCTCTTGTGGGCCTTTGTCACAGTGTTCCAGGTATTCAATATTTTCAATTAAGTTACTTAACAGACCACCCAGAACAAACTGAACTTGCAACATTTACTAAACGCTTACCTACGTGTCCGTCAGCAGTCAACACTCACGACAGTATGACAATCCCAGTAACAGAAGATTGTCCTTGTGACGGCTAATCGACTAACCACGCGAGTACACAAACGACTTTTCACTATGCTGCAAGAGGAATGCACAATCGAACGATGAAGCGCGCTCTGTGGCTTGCAGCATCGTGCGTTGTCGGACAGGCGTTCAGTCGCATAACAGCTACCCTAGTATACCTGCATAGTGAACAGTTCTAGTTCCATTCGTAACAAATTGATCCAAATCATTTAGTGTCACGTTCACCGTATGTTGTGCAGTACAGTACTCCCATCTGAAGTTGTCGAGAGCACTTAGTCAATGAGCTTAGTTGAGTAGTAGGATAGCTTGAAGTGAATCGGGGCCGAGTCGCGAAATACCCTTGATCGTCAGTTCCTCTACTCTCACTAATATTCTGCACTCAGTTTAAAAAGTATTTCTATCACTCTGCATGCCGCTTCTCTTATTGTTATGTACTTTCTTATAAAGCGAAACCGGTAAAAAGTTCAACTGGAATTTATTGCGTGGCAGATTTTAATTACTTCGACCGAACTTCTCGCTGGTTTCGTCTCCTGACCTTTCTTGTAACTTCTATAACAATCTAATTTTCAATTACCTAACCCACTGTTCGACTTTTAACTTTCATTTTAATGCTAGAGATTTGACCCTTCATTTTCTTTTCCTGTTTATCTTTTTCCATCTGCGTTACAGAATAAATGTATGATTTATTAATGAAATGCATAAATATGAATGACCTTTATCATCTTTATCATATGTAATTTTACGCAAAGTATGAATGAACTTGTCTTCATCTTTAATGCACTTTTTGTTTGCCTATTTTTCTCTTCTAAATTATTTTTATTGCATTTATTACTTTACTAATATTAAATCATGAAGCAGTTTGTTATAAAGAATGAAAATTAATATTGGCATATAATTACTTATTTATTAAAAAAATATAATTGCACTAATATAACACGATGTTAATTCGTTACAGTAATTAAATTGGAATTATTAACTTACCCGTGGTGGTAGCGTCTCAACGGCGATAACACTGCTTAACCCATTAAGCTTTTAATTGTTATTGTTGTTAAACCACTTAAAGAGGAACACAAAGGTGTTGAAATAAAACTAATTTTACGGCATATTATACCGATCCTCAAAAAGTATTGAGGCGGTAAAATTATAGCATCATCACATTATAATAGTAATTGCATTGCATTGCTCTATAATAATGCTTTTTAATAGTTATTTTTATGTGGATACCTTTAGAGGTGTCCATTAAATATTATTGCTCCGTAATATTAGTGTTATTTTTGTGGTGAAGGCGAGGAGCAGTGTTATTGTCGCGTGCGCGATACTTCGTCAAGATGAGTCGGTCGCGGCGTATGCGCAAAGCATTTTGTTTTTCTTTCATTTTTTCATCGACCCGCGACGCGCAGTATTCTGGGCATGTATCTGTTCGGTGGTAAGTTTTGCAAGTACTACGAAGATGATGGCAGCGAGCGTGACTGTACCTGTCGCGAAATCGTCGAGCATCATCCGAAGTGTGAGTGCGACAGGAAACATTTTAATAATATCCTATGGGCTACCGTCACCGTCTTCCAGGTAAGCCTTGACAGAAGCTAAACAACGTACGTTATAGTCGGTTTATTTGCGATCCCCAAACGATATTGTTTTTAGAAGATAGACGCCGCGTTTTTCTCGTCCGACCAACCAAAATTTATTGAACTTTGTCTTATTCGGCAGCTTATGCAAGGTTGTTAGAAAAGACGAATGACTAAATTTTACAATTGGATAAATTGTAACGTATGCGAGAAATTCGTCGTAGTTAGAATAGTGCAACTAGAATGTACTTAGTGCATAAAAAGCTAAACTGCATCTTTGGAGCGCTCCGTAGTTAGTGCATCTTGCTTTGTAGCAATTAAGTAATTAGATAGTGCTGGACCCCTCTGCTTGTGTACTCCAAATCGCCGTCTGTGTACCCTTCATAACCCTGTATATGTGTGTACTTACTAACACTACGACATAACACTGTTTAACACTAACACGCTGGCTATTAAGAGAATTTTGCCTTTGATTTAAATTTGTTTATTAACAGTAAGGTTACTTAACATTTTACTACAAACACCAGGCACAACTTAAACACAATAAGACAGCACACCTTGCTTATTTTGATTTATTAAAAAGATTAATGATATTTGGAGATTTTGATGTTGTAAAGTGTTGTGATGAAGAGTTGACTCTTCATGTAGTTACAAACTTTCAGGTTTTGACACAGGAAGATTGGAATGTTGTCTTGTTCAACGGTATGGAAAAGACTAGTCACTGGGCCGCTTTATATTTCGTAGCTCTTATGACGTTTGGGAATTACGTATTGTTCAACCTGCTGGTGGCCATTCTCGTCGAAGGATTTAGCTCGGAGGTAAGGGTTCACCTATTGTAACGTCCCAAAGTCTGCTATTAAGTCTCGAAACAATGTCTAACACGTAACGCAATATGACTTTTAGCGAAATGAAAGAAGGGAACGCGAGCAACGCGAGTTAGCAAAGTCGAAACTCTCGAGCGAATGCTTCTCAGATAACAATGAAATACAATACGACGAGACGAATTCAGGATCGCATTCCAGCGACAGTTTCTCCCAGGTGAAATACTTCATTTAATTCCATCGTTTGTTTTCGTCGTGAACTCTTTTGTCTGGTAGTAGTTCTATATCTCTTATTTTCAGATGACTACTTGAATTAATAACGAACTTTCAAACAGATATCGGAACATGTAGTTGCTGGCCGAAGTGTGGCCGATAAGTCTTCAACATTTTCCTTTTGTTTTTAGAACGAAATAAAGAACTACTGGCGCTCAGCAGACGACGTTCGAAGGGCTAAAGACGACGTTAACGGTCATAAAGAAAAAGCCATGCGGTCTCGACGAAAACCGAAACCCTCGCACCATCCGACCCTTTGCAAAGACTGTGCTCAATCTAATAAATGTAATTTGCAAAAGGTGAGTAAACAGTGATACTGGACGAAAACGGTGAATTTCTGCGAATGTTTGTAGAAAATTTGTCAATACTTTTAAACATTTTCATTCACGCTCCATTTAACAAAGTACACGAATAATAGGATTATAAGATTGTAGACTACAAAAACTATCGTAATAGGTTTTCTTAAACGCTCTTTTCTTCTCTTGAAGATAAATTGCGGTCCAGCCATATTTAGAAAAGAAAAATTTTGAAGAAAAAAATAAAACCGTAACGTAACGAATGCAAGGGAATGAGGACAGGACTTAATAACGCTTTCATAAAGCACCGTGTGAAAATTCCATATATTTCAACTAGGGCTGCAAAACTAGTTTCAATATCGACAGTTAAAAACGCGGCTGTAAGAATGACAAAATAAATGTTTATTTTTGTACTATATTATTAGGTTTCGTAAATAGGTTCACATTATTTTACAAACCTTTGTAGTAAATGAATTTCGACACAACTAGGACGTGTCCGGGAAGTGATAAGGTATGATATGCTGTAACGGGCTAGCATCCACAGCTTAACGTTAGGCGACTATTTTGCGTGTGGTGAGTGTAAGTGTCCAAGAATCTTTTTTTTATGATTCCATGTGATGGGACTAACAAGTAAAAAAAAGTAAGCGACACGCCTATCTATAATAATTGCAGTGCCACTCAAAGGTTTGAGAAAATCTGACAGATACTTACCCTAAGACATAAGTCGGAAAGTCCCATGTGCCTGTAATTTCACCCGCACCCTTACCCTTCAAAACCGAAACCGCAGTAATGCTCACATTATTGCTTAGCGGCAGAAATAGGTAAGGTGGCAGTACTTCCTTTGACGAACTCTTTCACAAGTAACTCTACTGCTACAGCATCCTCCCAGATTTAGGGCGAAGTAGTAAATCCGGCGGGAGTTGTGGTAGGATGCACGACCGTTTCTTCCTCCTCCTTACACGCTCTGTATAGAGGGCAATCCGTGAAACCTATACAGAAAAGGTGTTTATTGTTATGTTAGATCGGGACGTGATATTGGGTGGTGTTTTTTTTTATATTTCAATGCAACATTTTCTATCGATCTTTATGCAAATTCTATACAACACTAAAACCAAATTTTATCTGCAAAGGTCACCCGTGTTTGGAAATTGACCTGTGATGCTCACCGCTGCCAAATGGCTGAGAGCAATGTAGGATACATAATTTATTGAGCCATACTACATTCAGGTCACTTTTGTGTTTTCTAACCTATGTAAATATTAAGTTTGTTACGTGAACCACATAAAATAGTAAAAATTTATGTTAGCTTTATTTTATTACTTTCTACCTACATACATAGACTTCATGCCCGTTTCCAATCGCTGTAGGCACAGCCTTCCACTTGCTACAGTCTTGACACATCTTTCGCTACATCAACACCCATCAGAGCTTTCATAAAAGCTCGTCGGTTAAGAATACTCTTGATTTGACCGGACGCCTTAAAGCAGATACACATATATATTTTTATTAAACCCTCTTGTAATTTGCTTTGGTCGTAAATAAATGATTTTAGTGCTAGTATATTAGAAATAACTCATATGAATAACTAAACGTGCAATGTAATTCCTTAACGTCGTCATATAATCGATTATTCTTTGTTGATTATTAGATATCGACATGAAATTATAATATGTATGTATGTTCAATGTAATAATGATGTATGATATTTAATAGTTTGACATTGAAAGTCTATTATTTTTTTTTGTTATTAATTTATTGATTATTCCTTGTAAACGTCTGATGACAGTGCTGTAATTAAATTAAATTTATGTAAAATTTTTCAATTCTGGTCAGATAAAACATGTGTTCTGTAATAGTTGTTCCATCTTTTACGCCATGTTTTAAGCAAATAAAAATTTCATTCAATTTCATTTTCACTTACCTGTCACTTTTCTCTTCAAAATAAACTAACTGTTGACAGCAATAATGACTGTACAAAAATATTACTATAGATTCAGCCGTGTGGTGATGATTATTATTAAATATTGATTTGTTGCAGGAATCGAAAATGTTGGCAAATAACACCACGGTGTCATCAGACACGACGGTACCAATGATCACGCATACGGCTGCGACTCCACAGGACTCTCCCTCAACGACATTAGAACCTGGCGCTTCTTTCAGGGATTTTAACATGGCTCTCAGCTTAGAAAGATCTTCCATGCTATCAAGTCTGGACTCCATTGACAGAACCTCAGTACGTATTTCTTATACCTATTCATGTCCTTTGTAATATTTATTAACAACAGACTTGGCACTTTAAAACACATAACATTACTTTTTACACAAAAAAGAGTAAATAAAATAAAGATAAATAGCGACCGTAAGTAACCGCTGCAATCAATTCTTATCGAAAGGGATCGAGAAGTAGGAGATCTGACAAATCGTTTCTGCCTTTTGTCGAAAGCCCTGAGACTTATTGGAAGAACTTATTGGAAAACGATTTTGTTATAGAATATATTTCACCTTATGGGCTTCCTTTTTTACATAATAGAATATTTTTTACAGTGTCAAAGCATACCGGGGTTATTAAAGCCACCAAACAGCTATACGTTGACGTTGCATTCTGCAGCAGCACAGCTGGCAGCAGAGAAGGCGCGTTTACCACCAACGACACTAGCACCTCCCACTTTAACCCTCGCCCTACCCCCTCATCGGTCTGCTTCACCTGGATCAACTCCAACCACACCGAGGTCAATGCCTTCTCCGATCCTACCTGAAAAGAATCTGCAAGTCACTATAACGAAGGACGAAAACTGCCTGAATATTAGCGACAAATCTAGCCTACTGAGCTCGCAAAAGTAAGTTCTTTTATCAATTATTCATTCACTGTAAAAGTGACAGTCACGATTATATGAAACTGTTTGATTCGTCTTTCTATCTATCTACTAAAAATATTTTTAAATAAATGCATCCTCAGTGTAATAAGGCCACATGTGCAAAATGACAACTTTTCAGCAGAGAAATTTAAAGATTCTACGAACGAAATTAGTCTTTAACTTTTTTATGCATTTATACGAGTGTTATAAAATTTCACATACACATAATAATTACGTATGTAGATCGTATTATTTTTATCACTTCCATGTGATAAAAATCCTTTTGATGTACGGTCAAAATGTGATTTTATTATACCAAATGATAAATGTGAACAAATCGCTAACTTAAAACCATCTACTTTGTCAGGAAGATGGCTTAAAAAAAATAAGGTGCAGTCGCGAATTGTTTACCAGTTTCAAAGCGTGACGTGATTATTTCAACAAATAGAAAAGTCTTTGTCTTATTAAAAACAAATTAAGTACATTTTGAACACAGATTGAATTTAGTAAAAAAAAATCACTTTTTGGTTTAGACGACTATGCATCAAAATCTAGCAAAATCTATTTATAAAGGGCAACCCCTAGAGTTCTTTATTCTTTAAGTTAGGAAGGAGGCCTCAGGAAGGAGTAAGTAGTCTTTAATAGTCTCAAGAGAGTCTTTTGGATCAGGATGCGAGTGAAAAATAGCAAACCTATTTTCATTGCTGTCACTTTTTATAAAAATAACTCCTATCATGATCATTATCATTAACCGAGCCTATAAGTTAATTTCGTCGGTGTTTTGTAGAGAGGGCGAAAGCGCCATTTCGAAAAAAAATCATGTACGTAGGTTTTAGGTTTTTAACGAATGTCTTAAAAGATTTACGTCCCGTTTTAAAATTCAATTTTGATTTTATTTAACTTTAAGTTTTAAAGTTGAATTTAAATCAAGACGTAAATATTTTAAAACAGTCGTCAAAAAACTAAAACATGCTACACTGAAAAAAATTTCGAAATGGCGCCTAAACCCTTTCTACAAAACACCGACATAAGTGTACTTATAATAATAATGTATCGAACTATCACACCAATTACCTGGTCTCAACCTAAGGAATTCCCTATTAGTACCAGAGCAACGGAATTTGTTCCGGGGCACAATTTAGAAAGGTTAATTTTCCCCAAATTCGTCTTTCTTTTATAATACCAAGTGATGGGAGGAACAAGTCGTGCACAACAAACAAAAAAAAGAGAACAATAATTAGGGGCACTGCCACTGCGTCCGTCACCCTGAGACATAAGTTGACAAGTCCCATGTGCCTGTAATTTTACCAGCACCCTTACCCTTCTAAACCGGACCGCAGTAAGCTCACATTACTGCTTGGCGGCAGAAATGGTAAGTTGACACTACTTCTATGGACGAACTCTTTCACAAGGAGTTCCATTGCTACTTAAAAAAAGTCTCACCGGGAATCGAACCCGGGACCTACTTATACAGTGCCCACAGTAGAAACCATTGAGCAAACGATATCGTCAATTTTTGCCATTATGCTCTAAAAGAAGTCAGAGTAAATAAGTATAATAATATTATTTCATAAATTCGAAACATGAATGGCTTATAAATGAAGTAATATTTTGTATTTAAATTTGCCTTTTACGTAGGACAAAATAAAACATACTATTAAGAAAGTTTGCTTGTATTGTATGTAGCTAGTACGTGAATATATTATTTTTATGACTTCTTATGGCACCTAATAAAACCATTCTCTCATACACATTTATTATACGATCTAAGTTATCATGCGACAACGCCATAAACTCAGTCGTGCAACGTCGTTATGTGCTGCATAGCTTGAAGTTGTAAAATATAGTATTCAAAATAAATAAGACAGTTAAAAGTACAGAGTTTGAACAACAGCACTTTTGAAGACTTTTACCTGTTCATAAAAAACAATTGCATAAGGTAATCGATCATGTTTCATGTCATTATTGACATATAGTCTCTACAAGTAAGTCTCAAAAGGCAGAAGAAAAGAAGAAGGCCAATATGATATGGATGAATAATCCGAAACAATATGCGTGAAATTTTTGTCTACAGAAGTGTAACTGTAGCAAACCCGGTTGCTAGTGGCGAGGATAAGTGTAGGGTACAAAGGGGCTACAGCTGGAGGCCATCAAGACCAAGTTTGATGAAAAGGCAGAAACACAGGACGGGGTCAGACTCTGATGCCATTATCTTGAACAATGGGCGCGACCACGCTGTTTGCAATGGTAAGTAGTGTTGGCTAGAATTAGCCAAATGCGCATATATCTATGAATTATTAAATATACTTAAGAATAACACGCTTAAATATAGTATCGTGCCTGCATAATCCACAACAGTGTTCATGAGTATTTATTCTATTAGTTGTATATAAAAGACCTTGAAAAATTACAACTTTTTTCTTTAGAAAACAAGTGAAAAGCAACCAATGTATAGACGTTTTAGTACATACGTCGTATATTATGTTTTTATAACAATAATTACGTAAAAAACATTTTTGGCGAATAATTAAGGTCTGAGTAGACAAACCGATGGTGATGGAGTCTGAAAACTTAACCCAACTACAACAACTTTTTAATGAAATTTACTTTTACAGTTATTCTTCCCAAAAGATTATTTCAAGTAACGCATTTTTCACCATTGTCTTCAGCCCATTCATACCACTGCGTATGTATGTTACGCGATAACTCCGGCGGCATTTGTGAACCGAGTTTGATGATTTTTTTTGTCTTTGAAAAAGAATACCTCAGTAGTCCCATTTACATTTGAAGAAATATTTCACCTCTAAGATTGGCAAACTAGGAGATGAATCCGGTTTCGCGCACTTTCCGGTAACCGATTTCAATAAAAGTTGGCAAATCGATGTAATTCCACGAACTTTTAGGGTCGGTCTTTTTATTAGTAATAAGTTTTTGAACAATTTGTACAGGTTCAAATCTCCGCAAGAACGAGCTACCTCTATCATCTTCGATGGTGATAAAGAACGATACCCAATCAGAGTTCCCAAACAACCGGCCTCGATCACAACTGCCCGCACCAAGAGTTTTGGCACCTCCAGCAGTAAGGAAGGTTTCTGCTCACGCTACACCTTTACTACCAGATGTAAGTTATACGCATACAAACTCTATTGGTATTTAAGAAATAAAAAAATCAAAATCAAATCCTTAAAATATTATCATGATGTTTTTTCCACATTATTCACTACATACATATTTCATCTATATTTTCGGGAAATACTCCACTAGTTTGTTATTATTATTGATATAAAAATCGCCAAAAAAGCGACATCTTTCGTCAGCGTTGGTAGCTGTGAACAATAACTATAACTACAACAACACAATAACGCACACCTGTGTCGCTTAGAGATTGGAAAAAAAATCTGGGTCGCGGGTGCCATAGACACACACATAGACAACCACAAATTACACTAAAATTCACGAGAAGCCATACAAATATTTCTCCCTGCCCAGGAATGTAACTCAGGACTTCTACGTGACAGTCTTGCATAGTAACCGTTCGGCCACAGAGGCAGTTCACTTTCACAGTTACAACTTTACAACTTAACAGCTAAAACCTTCATAGATTTCTCACAGGTAGCGCTACGGCAAGTCTTAAAAAAAAACAAAAAACCTAAATCTGCAACAAGCACATAGAAAAAATCGTTGAATCTGCTGGGTCGTTCTGTAGCTTAGGAGAGCATCGGCCTGGTATGCTGATGACACTGGTTCGAATCCAGCCAGATCGAATTATTTTTCTGTGTGTACGATCTTTATATTAATAGTTATAACACACCAGTGGAGTAATATTACAAAAAAAATAATATCATGATAGGAGAAGATCATAATATTCATTACAATCAATATTAAAATTATAGAAGGCTCACCTTTGGGAAGCCTTCACGATAGTGTTTAAAACCTTATGGTGTGATTAATTAAGTTCATTTTCTTTCAACACAACTGTGTTTTTTGTATTAACAAGGCTACGCGTTGAAGCACATTCTACATTACATATTTTGCATTAACGAGTTTAATAGTCAATAAACTTCATATCACAGTTAAAACTTTCATAAACTTTCAAAACTTTTTCACAAGTGGCGCTGATAGCAAAAAAACTATTTTAACCCAATACAGAGATCTACAACAAACCATTGAGAAAAAATTTTCTGCCACGGTCTGTAGCTCAGTTGATAAGAACAGTGACCCTGGACTGTAGCAACAGACACTGGCTCAAGTCCTCTCAGACGAAATAATTTTTCTTCGTCTTTTTCAATCTTTGTATCAACAATAATAACAAATCTTTAAAATATAAATTGTACTTGCCTAGCTATAAAAAAGTATTAAGTGACGGGACAAACAAGTGGTGCGCCTGGTGGTAAGCGACATGCCCATCCATAACATTTGCAGTGCCACTCAGAGCTCCAAATCGCAAAGATCTTAGGGGCACTTCCACTGCGCCCGTCACCCTGCGCCATAAGTAAGTAACAAGTCCTATGTGCCTGTAATTTCACCAGCACCCTCACACTTCCAAACCGGAACGCAGTAATACTCACATTACTGCTTGGCGGCAGAAATAGATACGGTGGCAGTACTTCCCTGGACGAACTCTTTCACAAGGATCTCTACTGCTAGTAAATTCAAAGTATTCAAACGCGATAGTTTTGATAAGGCTTCCAGATTCAGGAGTCCAGTTTACCTTAAATATTTCGGGGAACGCCTCCTGTTTTAGACATTGACAATTATAGTTTCATCTCTGAAATTGCAATCATATATAGGTATCCTGGAAGGCTCCAGAAGCTGGCTTCTCATCAGACTCGACGGTGCGGCTTGATACAGCAAAACCTCCACCACACAGACTGTCGCTTACCAACGACTATTTGACAGGTGAGTGTATATTTTCTATTTGTAATAATAATAACATGCACACACTCACAGCCCCGCACTGGGAAACCCTGTATCGCGGGTGCCATGGACACACACATAGACAACCACAAACTACACCCAAACTCACAAGAGAAATAAAGGCAGGCCATACAAATATTTCTCCCGACACAGGAATCGAACCCGGGACCTCTGCGTGGCAGACCAGCACATAAGCGCATAAGAAAGTACTATCTGTAAATCAGAATTTTCCAATCAATGCAGTAGATTTATTAATACTCTGTTGAATACTGTATCAATATATATAAACATATTATAAATATATTATAGTTCTATTTCATTATTTATAATTATTAACAGTTGTTAAAAAAAATTGACCAGAAAATACGAGAGGTATACTAAATAAAACTCGATACTTCTTCCATAAACCCACACACCTATTAGAGGCAACTAGGTAAATAAGTGCGCCCCTTCACGCCGTTCAAGGTAAATTGATACTAGAGCATAGATCCTTAAGTGTTATCGCCCCGGGGCTATGTAACGTAATTCTAATACGACGACGTTAGAGCAAACAAATTCTTTTTGCAAGCGCTTTACTTTGAATGTATCGCACGTAAAATCTTTGCTTTAGGAGCTTAAACTTGGTCAACGTTATTCAATACGGGCTCTTTAGTGAATAGAGTTTCAAGTGAACACTTTATAGGTCAGCAATTTAGTCTAACAGAATAATAATAAAAACAAAAAGGATATTTTGTCCCTAACGTCCTTTTCACAACAGGCGTTATCCTCGTAATGAATAGATTTTAAAGAACTCTTCTACATTACCCTATCTAAAAGATGTAATTAGAAATACATGCCAAATTTTCAGAAAGTTCATGCAGATACTATACACGAAATAGGCTCTTAACACACACAACACACATTCAACATGGACTCACACCATACTACATTTATTTGGTTTGGTAAATGTTGTTTAAACGAGCGAAAATGTTGAGAAAAAAAAGACGTAATAACAATATGCCAGGCAATCACGAAAACCAGAATAGTACAAATTCATATAGCATATTGTAATCAAACAATCGTACAGTTAACTTGACGATGGTGTTTGATCAATGGCTGGTTTACACGAATTAAGTACAACGTCGTAAGTAAAGATACATATCATGGCACATACATTTGATGATTGTAAATTGATAATTACGACCGATAGCCAGTCAATATGTTCAAAGACGGTACATCAATGGTCAAATGTGCCACGGTATGTATCTTTAACTTACCACTCTGTACTTAATTCCTATAAACCAGCCATTAATTACAGCTCTCAAGTTAACCGTAGGGTTGTTTGATTACAATATGCAATGTGGATTTTTGCTATTATGGACGGTTTACGAGTAAAGTAATAATGGCGAGTTCAACATGTTCATAGATAGTACATCAATCGTCAAATATGGCACGATAATGTACCGATAATGCGTACCGGTGCCCATGGCATTTTTTATAGACTGTGGATGTGTACAAGTACAAAACGGATGATGCAATTTTTGTTGTAATTTCGATATCTCCAATGAAAACTAGGCCAACTTAATTTTTGAACCTGTTCTGTTTTTATTTTGTTTTTTGTTTCATTATTTTTATTCACAAAATTCGTTTTTATTACGAATTTCGTTTTTTGTTTCTTTTTTTAATGTGAATGTTTCCAAAAATTATAGAAACTGACCAACAAATTATGTTGGCAAAGTGTTCATTGGAGGTATCGATTTGAACTTATGTGTGTTGTACTGATCTCAAATAATTTAAAACTACGATTATATTTTGTATTTTAATTATTAGTGTTTTTCTGCTTTTTTGTGCTTTGTTAGCCAATAAAGTTAATGGCAGATTATCAGAGATGTGCTTCATTGTTCCAGTTGAATCATAGACCTCGTTGACATTAGAGTCTTTAATATTTTGCATTTTCTTCTTTTGTACTGTAACGCATATTAAATAAACTATTTTTTAATTTTTGTTCGAAAATCTTAGAGTATGATTTAATATAATTTTATTTTAAAATGGTATTCGTAGATATATTTATATGTAATTATAAATAATATGGGGATAAAAGGACAACTGACACAGTATCGACTTATCGCTGCAAGTGTAAATGATCGCACATTTGTCCGCGCCGAACAAAGAGAAGTTTCTTAAGCTTGCTGAAAGACTGGAATTTTTAACCGATTTCAAAAAAACGTAGGAGGTTCTCAATTCGACTGTACTTTTTTTCGTGTATATGTTACACGATAGCTCCAACATTTGTGACCCGATTTTCATTATTCTTTTATTTTTGGAAAGCGGGTGCCTCAGTAGTGGTCCCATTTAAACTTGAAGAAAATATTCCACCTCTAACGGTGGGAAATTAGGGGATAAATGACTTTTAGGTCGGTTTTTTAGTACTCTGTACATAGATTATATAATTTGCTTATAAGTGTGCGATCATCATGTGCATACTGAGAAGTCTGTGTCATCTTATAGCGTTTTTGAACATCGAGTTATTCAATATTATGTTTTATGTAAACATGACATGAGTTCCACTCGGAGCTTTAAATCGTAAAGATCTGATCACTGCCACTGCGTCCGTCAGTGTGAGACATAAGTTGACAAGTCCCATTTGCCAGTAATTTCACAAGCACCCTTACCTTGCACAACCGGAACGCTGCTACGTTCACATTACCGCTCGGCGGGAAAAATTGGTGTAGGTGGCAGTACGTCTCTGGACGAACTCTTTCGCAAGGCACTTTACTGCTATGAAAAGTATTATTTATCTAATACAACATAATCTAAGGATAATGAATGTAGCCAAAACAGTGAGATAAATCGAACCGCAAAGTAGTTACACGACTATCTTTTGAGCGAGAGCATAATATACATCCGAATTTCATGAATATTATCCAATCCCCTGGTTCACCCGCTGCAATATGCAATCTTCAGTCGCTGTCCAGTGTCCGGAAAACAATCAAGCCTACGGCTCTTCAAGTTTCGTACTAACAAGAGACAGTCGACAAATACAGGCCGTTAGGCAGTTATTTGCCATCCGAAACAGCTTTTCAAAATACCAGGTTTAAAATATCAGTTGACCGAATGTGTTATGTTTTGACCTTATTTATCTATAAAGCTTAACCATGCAGTACAACGATTTTCTTATGAAAATCTAATTTACGTTTGCACTCGAATACAAATACAATGTTAAGAAGCAAATTTAGAACTTATGTACTTGATTTGTTATTTTGATTTCTATGTGAAGTACAAGTACACATAGTGCTGTAAAACTATTCCCCTTTTTACATTGCAGTACAAAGTCTTTCACAAGGACTGCTACGAAACATATATTATCTGACCTTCAAAAACATAACCAATATAAATATATAGCAGACTCTAAATACTCCCTAGTCGATTGAGTGCGTCCGGTTTGCACCAAGTGCAAACGGTAACTGATAGAAGCTCCGCAACAGCGGTAACACAAATATTCCCGAGAATATTACCTCAATAATTGTACCATGCATGGGATATATAATATTTTATCAAACGGATCGGAAGGAAAAGCGAGTTATCTGCCAACATTTCAGTGCCGTATTTGACAACTTTATAGTAATGTTTGTATAATGTCGTTTAATGGAACGTAAATAATTAATTCTAATTTGTCAAGTGAATACACAGAACCACATACAAATTAATGCGATACTTGAAAATGCACTGCAAACCCAGCACATTATGTGGCAACCAATTTGTCTAAGTGGTGCTCTTGTTAGAACAAACTTTACAAGTAGAGTGCGGTTGTATATTCGGCTTCGGCGTCAGTGGTATCTGAACAGTGTTATTACTTATGTATCGAACATTCGACAAGCCAAACGAATGATGTTTTGACGGTAACATCGAAACATCTTCTATCAGATTACCACTTATTTTTATACAGTCAAATGTCAGGATATTTTTATACATATCGAGTTCTTAGGTTTTCGCGATTGTTACACATAGGAAATGAAACTATTTTTCCGGATTTAAATCGCGTATATTTGACCACCTTTACAGGTCCCATGGTCACGGTTGACAGTCAATCGTGACCATGGGACCTGTAAAGGGCCCGAAACGTCGGTTTGTTTGAAAAAACAAATATACGCGATTTAAATCCGGAAAAATAGTTTCATTTCCTATATTTTTATACAGTCAGGATTTCGCATCTTGTTCTTTAAACTAACCTATAGCATAACTTTAATATAAAACCGAACTAATGTTGATGTAAATCGTCTTTAAAGGAAACATGCTTGCATGCCTATTATGAACATAAATAAGCACGACATGAACCTGTTATTTAAGAAAAAGTGTTTCTATGGACAAAAGTTTCTACGGAAATAAATTTTGACCAAATTTTTAGCCGAATATTATCGTAAAAGAGCACTAGTTGGTCACTTTAATGGCTGCTACGGCAATACTCCTCGTGGCATCTTGTTTGTAACTATTTGTACCATTAAGAGACGCTAGCACACGGCAAAAGTTTTAATAAGTATTTACCGTCTTCCTTGTCGTAAGTCATGATATTCTTTGAACTTTGTTATTATTGTTACTAAGAAAAGATTGCCATATTGTGTTTACTACCATAATTGTGATTAAAAACTTGTTTTGAAAGAAATGTGGTCTACCTAATAACGATGGCTTATAATCTGATCCAAGGAGTAGTTTCTTCATCAATTTAACAATTTGATCGCCGTGGACGCTTCAAAGCGTCTTATATTAATTTGGCTGATACATCAATGACGCCTGAAAGGGTGAATGAAACCCTTAAATTATCAATTGAAATTAATAAATAAATATTGAGATATTTGTTGCGTTATTTATATATTTCAGTCAAATATGGATTGATATTTGCATGTTATGGTCAGTTATGGTTTTCTTTGACTTAGGAAAATTGAATTAATTTAGTGGAAATCCATAACTAGTCACATCACTATATAGATCAGTTCACATCAACAGCAAGAGCAAAGACAAATTTCACATTAATGAATAATAGAATTTTCGTTGAATAAGTACGAGTACCTAGTATTTCAAAATGCACGATATTCATTCAACTGGAAGTTACACTTTACGTAGTATTATTTCAACAATATTAACTCTCTAACTTTCGCTCAATACAATGTTACACAGTTTTCAACAACGTTGAGCTAAACTCTTGTTAGAAATATGCGGATAACAGAAGAAAAAAAGAAAATTAACGGATACTTATCCGTTAAAACAATTTCGACCGAACCATCTTATTATTAATACATAATATTGTAACGCATACCATGGATGTTTATTTTCTTCAACAGTAACGTCAATATCGGAAGTAAAAGCAAGTAATCTGCCACCACCTTCAGTGTCCCACCTGACGCCAAGAGTGACTCGACACGAAGTCCCACCACCTCTGCCGGCTCGACCAAACAACCAACCTTTGCCGCTCATAAAGCAGATTAATGAAGAGGTGTGCTTTTTATTATTAACGCTCATTTTTATTTACTTAATACTTAGGATCTACAGTAGGTTTTGTAGTTATATTATAGGGTTTGTTTTATACTTCTACATTTTTGTTTTATAATGCTAAGTGACGGAACAAGTCGTGTGGCTGGTGGTAAGCGATACCCCTGTCCATAACAGTTGCAGTGCCACTCAGAGCTATATATCGCAAAGATCTGAGAGACACTGCCACTGCACTCGACACCTTGAACCGTAAGTTGGCAAGTCCCATGTGCCTATAATTTCACCACCACCCTTACTCTTCGAAACCGGAACGCAGTAATGTTCACATTACTGCTTGGTGGCATCAATAAATAAGGTGGCAGTACTTCTCTGGACGACTCTGAAATTCACAAGCAGCTCTACTGCTACTAAAATACGTCATACACACGAACGTATTTCATTTTTTCTATCCACTTCACTTACGTAAAGGTATTTCTTGTTGAAGGTGTTCTTGACATGTAAATCTATCGATTTTCCTTCTCTTTGTTCACAAGAACAAGGACAAGAGAAGTCTGTACCAAACATCAGGAAAACACATATAAACAAAATATTGTTTATATGTGATGTTGTTGATAATAATCAATCCCAAGACACGTATATCATTTAAAGTAAAATAACTCCATTTTGAATTTTTTTTTATTTCAGGTGACAATAAACAGTAATGTGTGTATATTATCATCAAGATTTGACCGGCGTACATTCAGATTTAAAGACTTTTTTCGTTTTATGGAGCCCACCGGATGCCTAAAAGAAAAAGAAGATTATTCTTTATATATATTTGCCCCAGACAACAAGTAAGACTTACACATAACCTTTTCATTTCATGTCAATGCTTTTTCTTACTTATTATAAGAAGTGTAAGATATATTAGGGATGCATTTATATCAATATGAACAAGTAACGCTTGTTTACGAGAAAATCAATAACGTTTGTTACAACGTTAAAGAAATAGACAACAAAGGAATATAAATTGCAATCAACAAAACTTCGCTTATATTTTGATTAGGTTTATCTTCTACATAAAGCTAACCCAATCTCAAACCCACATCTGTATCTAATACAATATGTTTGTACCCTTAAAGCGTTAAAAGGATTTCTTCCGACGGTCTTATTGAGACTTCAGAGATATGTAGACGTGCTAAGCATTCAATTTCCAAAACTGTTTTCAGAATAAGAAGATTTTGTACTTGGATGGTGACGAGAAACTGGTTCGACAATATAGTACTGCTGTTCATAGCGCTCAATTGTATAACTTTGGCTATGGAAAGACCGAATATTCCACCTGATTCAAAGGAGAGAGCATTTCTATCCAGTGCTAATTATGTTTTCACGGTTGTATTTGCAGTCGAAATGTTGATAAAGGTAATAATGTAGTAACAGTCGTTTGTTACAACCTAATGAAAATATTTCCTTACCTTTTGAATGGTTTGTACCTAGGTAATTGCATCAGGAATGTTTTATGGCCCAGAAGCGTATTTCACCTCAGGATGGAACATCATGGACGGCTCCCTTGTAATAATATCCATAATAGATTTGCTGATGTCACTTGTGTCCGAATCCAGTCCTAGAATATTTGGAATATTAAGGGTGAGTCAAACATACATTTAAAAGTGGCAAATCAAGGAGGTATAAGACTGCAGTATAATTATTTAATTTTTAATCACCCTGTTCATGAACAGTGGACAGACTAAAGCACTCTTTAGTAATAATAGTATCGCACACAAAAATGTCACTACTTTTTTGTGCCGTAGTATGTATATGGATTCAATATAAATTGTTCAATGTAAATCATTGAATTTTATCAGTAAATTGTTGATACTTCTCTGTGGAGAAGCAGAAGGTGGCAACTACACAGATAGAACGTGGAAATCGCAAAGTAAGGCCCGTACTTGGTTGTTGGAGATTCATATAGCAAAACGGTGTACCCTGTACTACCATATTCTGACATTTAATATTATGGCAAACGCCGTTGCAGCCCATGAACGGGTTAGCGAATTGAATTTAGTAAAAATTGTTATTGTTAAAATATTGTTCTTAGGTAAATTAAAAATAAGGTATTTTAATTAATAACTTTTGTAACTATAGTTAGGAATAGGGTGGTTTGCATTAATATACTCCCGGACACCATAATTTGAGCCACCTCGCATTTTTGCCTTAAAGGGCTAGAATACAAAAATAGTGTTATCATCGAAGGAAAAGTTTTCCCCCGGTTTTGCAAATCCAAATTCCCAACCAGGACTTATGGAAAAGTCATTTATTATACTAGTTTCAAAATTGCATAATAGTTTTTGATCAGCCAAACATTGCTTAGGGCATTTAATTCTAAAAATGCGTGGTGCCTCGAATTATGTGTCCGGAAGTGTATTAGACATAACGTTGATGTCTTTACCATTTCCAATGTGTAGCAATCGCGAAAACCTAAAAACGCGATAGTCTTTTTGTGCCGGAATTTTAAGTTGAATTCTTTTTTAACAGGTATTTAGGTTATTAAGATCTTTAAGACCGCTGAGGGTGATAAATCGAGCACCAGGTCTAAAATTAGTAGTACAAACTCTATTATCATCACTGCGACCTATTGGCAACATCGTACTGATCTGTTGTACATTTTTCATCATTTTTGGCATCTTGGGTGTTCAGGTAAATATTACACTTACAAAAAAAGCAATGAATAACATAAGCGGCAATATTTTATATCATAGAGAAATATCATTTTCAGCTATTCAAAGGGGCATTTTACCATTGTGAAGGTGCGCACATAAAGAATGTGACCAACAAATCAGAATGTAAGGCGATAGACGGCAATGCGTGGGTGAACAGAAAATACAATTTCGATGACCTTGGTAAAGCTCTGATGTCCCTTTTTGTACTTAGCTCAAGAGATGGTTGGGTTAACATTATGTACACGGGTCTTGATGCAGTTGGCGTTGACAAACAGGTACAATATTCTTCATGAGCCACCATTTCTACATAAGTGTATTTTAAAAATGTTAACACGAATTTTAAGGCGAAGCATTTCATTTCAAAGAACAGTGAGCCCAAATTTAATTTCATTCATCACGCTATCTGTAATTAACAAGCATTGTCTTCACTGAATTGCTGGCATCATGCAACCAACCATTCGGTACATTTACTGGCAACATTCTTATAATAGCCTTTCAGATAAGACCTTTGCAATTTTATTTTGGCTATTCATGCTTCTTTATTACTAGGCATTGACCTACCAATGTTACTAGGGCATAATTTTAATTACGCTCCTTTAATTATTTAATCACGCTCCTTATTGTGTGTACCCTAATATTGTATGATTAAGCATACACGTGTTTTTATGGTTTGAATTTCAGCCAATAAGAAATCATTCTGAATGGCGACTACTGTATTTTATTTCGTTTATATTGTTGGTGGGATTTTTCGTATTGAACATGTTTGTGGGAGTGGTAGTGGAAAATTTCCATCGATGTAGAGAAGAACAAGAAAAAGAAGAGAGAGTGAGAAGAGCGGCTAAAAGAGCACTGCAAATGGAGAAAAAAAGAAGAAGTAAGTAACAAAACAACCTGACTTAACTAGCTTTAATAAAATATTTTAAATGACTTATTATATTCAAACATAGTTATAATACCGTAAATTTATATTTTCTTTCAGAAATGCACGAAAGGCCGTACTATTCAGATTATAGCCAAACTCGACTGTTTGTACATAATGTTGTCACATCCAAATACTTCGATTTAGCCATTGCTGGAGTTATAGGCCTTAACGTAGTTACCATGGCTATAGAATATTACAGAATGCCACCAGCACTGCAATATGCATTAAAAATTTTCAACTACTTTTTCACAGCTGTTTTCATACTTGAAGCTATAATGAAACTAGTAGCTTTGGGTTTCAAAATATATCTAAAAGACAAATGGAATCAACTGGATGTAGGTATAGTGATATTATCAATAGTAGGTATAGTGTTAGAAGAATTAGAGACAAATATAATTCCCATAAATCCAACAATAATGAGAGTTATGAGAGTGTTGAGAATAGCCAGAGTACTGAAGCTATTGAAGATGGCAAAAGGCATAAGAGCATTGTTAGACACAGTGATGCAAGCACTTCCTCAAGTAGGCAACTTAGGTCTGCTGTTTTTTCTATTGTTCTTTATATTTGCGGCTCTTGGGGTAGAATTATTTGGCAGACTAGAATGTTCAGACGATGTTCCGTGTCAAGGTAAGATTTAAAAATGAGGTATTGTTATTTGCATTTTGAGGTACTTTTTTGACATTATAGAAAACTTAACATCATGTTTACTTTCAACTTGCAGGTTTAGGAGAGCACGCTCACTTCGCGAACTTTGGCATGGCGTTTTTAACCCTATTTCGGGTCGCAACAGGAGACAATTGGAACGGTATCATGAAGGATACCTTACGCGAGGACTGTGACAGCTCTGTTGACTGTGTTCGCAACTGCTGCGTGTCAACCATCATTGCGCCCATATTCTTCGTTGTCTTCGTGTTAATGGCACAGTTTGTGCTCGTCAATGTCGTCGTTGCTGTAAGTATTATTTTATTACGTTTTTAAATAACATCCTATCATTTGTTATATAATTTTAATTCTAATAAAATGTTTGTTTAGGTCCTGATGAAACATCTCGAAGAATCGCATAAGCAAATGGAAGACGAAATAGATATGGATGTGGAACTTGAACGTGAATTAGAGCGTGAAGCTGATGACGAAGAAGATCGGGCACTCTGTAGAGCCTTGGAACAATGCACCAGTCCAATTCGGCCTTTGAACAAGGTACCGTCCCTTCCAGCCAACTTTACTTATAGCGAACCTAAGCAACCAGCACTATCACCTGCACGTCGCCGGCGTACACTGCACTCGCACCAAGCCTTACTACCGGCATCACTAAAACCAAGAAGATATTCCTTATCTCCTCACGCCTTTGGGCGGCGCCGACAGGATTCCACATCTGATGCGCCAGCAGCATTGTATGAAGAAGACGCGCGTTTTATTGACGCCGACGACATTGACGAGCTAGAGCCCGGCAGTCCACCTCGACGAGATTCATTTGCACATAATCGCAGACAGCGCGCTGATAAGCGGAATTCACTCCGAGGTGAGGAAACCAGGCTCCTGCGACCGGCTCCGGTGCTTCTCGCTGTTCCATCATCACGACCTAATGTTAGACAAAGTGGGTCTAAGCGTAGATTGTCCACTGAATCAGCTGCCACAAGTGAAATAAGTAACGCATCGCCACAGTCTCAAAGTCAGCTAACACTTGAACCAGTTGATCAACCCATAAGTGAAGAAGAAAAAATAAGAATAGTGATAGCTGAAAGACGAAAGATAGACGCTACAAGACCCGAACCAGACGAAGTGGTAGAACTGTCGGAAAGAGGCTCCTAGTCCAGGCGGGGCCGGCCGCAACAACACCATGAAGTCTACATCTAGATGCTACTACACGTGGCGTTCGGATGTAACCCTCACCTCGCGACATCCTTTCCCATATCTCTCCTTCCTGTGTGCGCAGTGAATTGTGAAAGTTTGAACTCGGTTGCACGACAGTAACACAGTGATGAAAACGATTTTATAAACTAGATGAGTTCCGACTTTAGTGCACTCCAGTGTCACGTTCTCGTTTTTAACCGAAAGAGTGATAGAATCTATAAATTGTGAAGTGATATTTTCCCACTTTTTTAACTTTGCACTTTCAACCACTGATCCTTGCTTTTCTATTTGCGGCCGGTTCAACAACTGTACAAAAGAGACTTTAATAAATTTAAGAAATGTATAAATTAGTTAGATAGGAATTAGAACTAGTCAATTTGTTGTGGTGGGATGTTTTCTACGAGCGCTAACGTTCACTTCAGTGAGTAATTTATTAGTACGGTGCTTGCTGTTAAAGTTTGATTCGTAATTTCTATTAATTAGCTATATTTACGTGAGTTTCCGACGAACCTCAACGAAAAATTGTTTCGTAGAATATTGTGAAATTAGTGGTGGTACTTAAATGTGATGTATTAGCATTGTTTAATTAATTTAATTAATGTCAATTGAGATGTTAGATTTTATTTACAGTCAGGTTTCGAATCATTGAATCGTAGAGTTACATTTTATGAATAGTTAGTTACCTATATTGTATTATTTCCAACGATATAAGATGCCTATTTAAGAATGCATTATGAATTTAGTTATTATAATTTCCAAGATACCTTCTAGTCAACGACTGGTAGTCTTGTAGTAGTAAATTACTAGCTAGACCTTTGTCGTCGTGTTAAAGGAACCAATCGTTCTTGAATTGAAATTAGTTACATTTGGAGATAAATAAGAAATATTTTTCTGAATAAATATCTATTTTTCTTACCGAGCCGTGCACGCTATTCAGTCGTGTAACTGGCAATACGCACATTAGTTAAGTCGGCAGTTAATGTGTAGACAAGTCAATAGACATTTAATCCATAATGTTCCTATCCATAGATTACTTTTATTTCCAATTGGTTTCTTACGTTAGCGCTTTTGCTAGCCGTGCCAAATTTACTATTTGTCTTTTACTTAAATAAATAGAACGTTATTGACATACATAATTATGAATTTTAAAACATGTAAGTTGTAGTTGCTTCTTTTTAAACAACTTAACCACAAGCAGTTTTAATATGCTTGTGGAAAAGTGATTAGTAACTTTTGTAAAAGCTGATTGCTTAGTAAACTGAGACCTTTGACTTTGTGGTTAGTACGGTAAACAAATGTATTTCTAGTTAGGGAAATCAGCAATAAATTTTATACTTCGACTGTGCCTTTTCTATTTCTAACGTATTAGCCTGTGGAGTTGATCGTTGTAGATTCTGATTTATTGTGTATACTGTAGGAGTTCGAGAGTAGATACAAATATAAATATATAATACTTGTTGAAATCTTGCTAAGTTTATATGTATAGTAACTGATGTGATTTTATTTTAATTTTTTAAGACAGACAAATCTTTAATTTATCATTCCGAGTAAACTTGACTATTCGCGTTCATTAAACAAGCTACAAGCGAGAAAACTTAAAGCATTTACAATTGCCTTTGTTAGTTTCATTAAAATAATAAATTGTGCTGCATTTTAATCAATTTCCTTCATAACAATGTATAATTTTATTGCCTTTGTCATTTAACTTGTCTTTCCAATTTATAATTCCTTAACTACACAATGTCTTCCAACTTTATCTATTTTTATCAAATTGAAGTTCTACTAAATAAAACTTTCCTAATTTCATAATAAAAACCATTTACAAAATAACAGTATTTTGTCTTAAGTTAGCGTGTTTCATTAATTTCAATCTCATGTAAAACGATTGATTAAAAGGAATTTAGTAAGAGTAAGAATAGCATTTTCGTGATAAAAAGAAAATTTCGTGATAATGAGTAATTGTTTTTTCGGTACTGATTGTAATGGTAATTTTAAGAGGTATGAACAATGTTCATTAGTTCAAGTTTCAAGAGTTACGAAAATGTTAGGTTGAGGATATTAAATTTGGATTCGAAATTTGTATTTAATTGGCAACCCCGAGAACCGAACGAGTAAAAACAGTTTTTGACACTTGAGTTTAGCAAATTAGTAAACTGTGTCGTAAAATAATGAATAGGTACAGACGATGCTCTAAGATACTTACCCTCCAGACGTCCTTTTGGTTCTAAAAGCCTTTTCATGCGTTCAACAGAAAAGCTTAAAGCAAATCCAGCTTTTTTGTTCAAACTTGTATTTATGTAAAATAATTAAAGATCCAGCTGGCTGGCTGGCTGGAAGTTATACCAAAATGAATTTTACGGCTCACAGCTTTAGCACTTTTCTTCATACTAATCACTCAGAACCAAATATAAAGTACCTTAGGGCGTCGACTGTACATTATGTCATTTGTTTTGGAAAATAAACAATTTTGGTGGTATTGCCAACGAGCGGGCGAGGGTCACAAAGGGCGCGCAACAGGCTGAGTGGGAACAGCGAGGAAGGGAAGTTCATACGAATTGAGTTTCGCAACAATCTTTGCGAGCATTCTATCTTGTTAGCGAGCGCTTACAGCCTAATTTGCATAATTCCTCGAAACGAATTTTAATGGGTTCTTTATCGTGGTCCTACAACATAATGCCTTTCTAAAAAAGGCGGAGCCTCATTCTCGGGAAAGGATTTTACTCGGTACGCAATTAACGTCTGGAATATTGTCCTAATAAAATTGCTAGAAGGGAAGTAAAGGTAAACATTTTGAATATTCAGTCCACTTTACTAGGTCCTAAAATGAAAGCTTTCTTATATATACATTGCGTTATATTCGAATACGCAGTGCTTATAAAGCATTATACTTTCAAAATAAAGTAACTGATTAAATTTGTAAACGGACGACGTTTTTTGTAATATAATATGTACTAACAGATCTACTCACCTAGTACTAAAAACAAATTTCACGCAATAGAATTGGCAAAAAGTTTTTTTTAAGCGACGGAACACGTGGTGCGTCTGATAGTAAGTGACACGCCTGTCCATAACAGTTGCAGTGCCACTCAGAGCTTAAAACGCAAAGATCTGAAGGGCCATTACGCCCGTGCTTGTAATTTCACCAGCACCCTTACCTTCAAAGGTGGAACGCAGTAAGTAATGCTCAAATTACTGCTTAGCGGCAGAATTAGGTAAGGTGGCAGTACTTCCTTGGACGAACTCTTTCGCAAGGGGTTCTATCGCTACTATAGGGATAAGAATTTATAATAAATCATTAACTAGACTATAAACAAGCACAAGTATTCATATAACAATATAAGAAATACGAATGTTCCACATTATAAAATAGGGCACAAAAAAGAAGACTACAACATTTAAACAACAAGTTACATAATAATATACTGATATGTGTGCGGCTGTGGCGTATGCAAAAGGACCCCATTCAGCTAACGTCACAACCAAGACTAGGCTGTAATGCTGGTTTTCAATGAGCCCTAGCCGAGTGGGTGACAGACGTATGGGTCCCGAAGCGAAATTAAAACAAACTAAACTTTATCACGAATACTACTATATACCTTAATAGTTTCCGAACCATCAACTTTGTAAAAACAATGCGTCTCTATGGGAAGAGTATAACAACTATTTGCGTCAAAACACCAATGTCAAAGACCGCCTATGTTGGAACAGAATGTAATACAAGTAAACTTCTAATAGCGCAGTAGTTGTTTTTCTTCCCAGTTGATTTTAGAAATATACTTTTGTAACTGTAATTGGGTGAACCCCAGGAGCCGCCTCCACGGAGCCACACAAGGCCGCGACCTGATTCCGCTACATTTCTTTATAAAATTTGCTCTGAGACAGAGGCAAATAGTTACAGAGAACTGTTTTTGTTCGCAACAGTTATATAAATTACGACATACCTTAGCAAAGTAACTGAACTTTCATATGACTTTACCAAGTACACTTGTTACTTCTCGTATAAATAATATACCTCTCCACATATAGCACATGAAAGTGCCTCCATGGCCGAACGGTTAACACGCTGGACTGCCACGCAAGAGATCCCAGGTTCGATTCCCGTGCCAGGAGAAATATTTGTATAGCCTACATTTATTTCTCTCATGAGTTTGGGTGTGATTCGTGGTTATCTATGTATGTGCCCATGGCATCTGCGATACAGGGTTTCCCTAGTGCTAGGGCTACGAGTGTGTGCGCGTTATTGAAAATTAAAAAAAAATACTGAATAGGCCTTATGTGAATAATGTGATTATTTTTATTTATAGTTAATATTTAGTTCTCCACTTATTAAAGACTTATTTGTTGGTTTCGTGCAGTAATTATATAAACTTTCAAATCGTGTCTTCTTAATTTCACAATTTTGAGTTACGACAATATTTGGTTTCATTTGTGAATAATACCTATGCAATAACCTATACCATGTGATTTTTAACTAGGACAGTATAACATCCGAAACCATAGGAGATACAAGGAAACAGTCTCATCAACCATTAGTTCTTTTTTGGCGCAAACGAATTTCACATAATGAATTTTTTGGTCAAGCGTCCATAAAAATTAATAATAATATTGTTAATTTTTTTTGGTGATCGACTCAGTTTCTTGTAAGAATTATTACAATGTATCGGAAGAAAAAAATCGGTAGAAGTAATCGGTAGAATTTGGTCATATTTAATAAACTGTATTTATATACAATAATTTTATTTTATAATAGAAGCTTTGGTAGCCTGTCGGTTTGACCTACTGCCTCTCAAAATTCTCTTGAAATTTACCACAAGGTTTCCGGTGAAGGAAAACATCATGACGAAACCTGCACGTCGAAGAAGTTCACGTGTGAAGTCCCCAACTTATACCAGTGTGGCGGATTATGGCCTAAACCCTCGCCAGAGAGACACAATACAAAAAAAAATTAATAATAATTACTAATAACAATTTATTATTTATTTATTAATATTTAATATATTATTTTTTTACTCCTAATTTATTCATTTTTGCCAGTGAAAAGGTTGTAAATCGCTAGTGTAAATAGGATGCTTCGGTCCACATAAATCTATTCCAAATTCAAAGTAAAAAAAAAAGAGCTATAACAAGAAAAGGGTATAAAAAACAGGTACAACGCTACAACACACTACTACTTAAGTACTAAAACGTGAGACAGACTTACCCCAAAAGGGCCGAGTTATACGATAATACTTAGTTAGATTGGCATTAAAATTGGCATATGATTTACGTTGGGAACTGGTAAAAGGATCAAAATTAGACGAGCAGCACTGCTCACTACAGCGATTGTGCAGAGTGTGACGACGGAACGAAACAAAATGAGAATGGCGAGGCAAAGGAATTAAAGAACAATTCAAAACTTGAAAACAAGTGGCCAGGAACCAGAGAAAAGGTGATAAAAAGGTGAGATGACGATGGAAAGAGGTCCGGAAAAAAGAAAAATCATCCCTAATTTTTTGGAAGTATTAAGTTAAAGAGATAGGATACTAGAAAGAGAATAAAGTAAGAATAGTGGCAGAGAAGGAATAAAGTAAGAGTAATAGTAAAGAAGCAATGGAAGTAAGCGTAATATTAGAGGAGGAATATACTAAGAATAATGGTAATAGTAGGTAATAAGTGGTAATAATAGGGTAGATAGTAAAAGTAAGTAATAGTAATAGTAAGAGAAGGACGGTAACCATGCTAATCAGAGAGAATTAGAAATTTTAATGGAGATGCGTGACCAATTTAGATATGTGAATGATATATAATGCTATTTCTATTTTCATACTATATTCAAAAAACCTTTCGTAATCTCACACATATACGAACCTTTCAAAATAGAGAAAGTCGCTAACCACAGTTGAAGGGAGTTTCTCACGAAATTCGAATTCTGTTGGTCACCCGCCAACGTATATGAAATTAGTGATATGATCTATATACAATCGGTTCAAAGACCAATGGCCTGTACGTGTAGGTACACGAGTGAGAAGTATAAATGGGTAGACGATGTGATGGTATATAAATAATTCTAACATATACACACAGAAACACTAGTTCTAAGTATGAACGAAAACCCATTAATAAGTAACGTGCTTGTTGGAGATGTTTCACACAACTCATCAAAACAGTTGTTAAGTTCTAGTCCCGCATAATACGAATGTAGTGGACACATTACAGGCGAACATATACAACGAGAGTGTCGAATTGGACTGCACATCAAGAAAGCGGTTTTATTAACACCACCTCTGTAAAGAAAGAAAAGAAATAATGAACCTCTGTAAAGAAAGAAAAGAAATAATGAAATTACACCACAAAAGAAAAA